AGAACTGAAATTTGTTGTAACTGTTGTTGAAAAATAGCGTTGGTACCACTTACTACGCACTTTGCAAAATATCTCGGCATTTGAAGCTTTGAACTTTGAAGTTTCGTGTGCAATGTTATCAATATATTTTTGTTCTTTGAATGTTTCCATTTTGGAAACATGCACAAACGTTGAACTTCTATTTTCTTTCGTTATAACTTTAGAAATACCTGAAAATATAAATGGAATGGTTTGGCTGTTAGTTTCGAGGAATAATATTAAAGTATGTCCGCGCAGTCTGATCAGGATCCATGCTGTCCGCACAAGTAGAGAAACTGAAAGCGAACAGCATTGATCCTGATCAAACTGCGCGGATGCCTAGGCTGGTCTGGATCCATGCTGGTCGCAAACCCATTATGTCAGTTTTGTCATAGTGCGGCTCAAATGGTGATAAGTGGTGTGTAATCAATGATCAATCAATCCTATTGAATCTGAAAATGCTGCAAAGAGTCTTAAACAATATACAAAATAATAGAACATGCTAAATAATAGACGATAAATAAATAATTGCGGCTAACATTTGATTTTCGGAAACTTTAAATAAATCATTGTCATACTGTAAGAAATACATATACTTAAACATTTATACAAATTTAGGAGCAAATATACATGAATAGTTTTTTTAGAAATGGTTTAAACGAAAGTCTACGAACTGACACCATTCACTTCCGTTTTCACCGCGACATGGAACTATATGATAAAGACAACTTCTCTATATTGTGTCCAGAGTCAATGTAAGAAATGTTTGTTTGCATTAAAACCTTTATTATAGGCTGTAAAATATATTTTGAATGATACGTGTTCAAGGTTGAAATGATAAAAAGTAACAATCTTCGTGAAACATGCTTCGTTACCTTACAGATATCATATGACAAAACAAAACATTACCTTGTCGTATACTAAAATTCCTATGCAGATAGTAATTCAATATCCAAACAGATGAGAAAATCCAAACTGTTAGCAATAGAAACAATGCTCTTCTGTAAAAAGAGTTCATGATTTCCTAAATGAAATCAAATTGCACTAATTCATATGTTATATAATTGTTACCATCTGTTACCGGTAGCGCGATGAACATTTCAGTCCTCGTAATTTGGCGGATTCGTTAATCCATGCAAAAGCTTCTTTACGTAATCTTCATTGACATTCATCTTTTACGTAACCAAAGTTTCAACAGAACTTTGTAAAATATTAATTGTTCGCTTTCTCTGTTTTTTTCCATACTTATAGGATTTCTCTGACAACAGCAGAATGGTGACGTCTGGTTTGTATACATTATGCGGATATGAGTGTGAGGGCCAGTACAAGAGCCATTACAAGAGCTATTGGTCGGAATCCATCGATAATCAGCCATTAATATATGAAATACAAGAAAACAGGTAATTTAAGGAAAGTTCATCGTTCCCATCGTCATTGTTTTGGACGATCACTGGCAACAAAACGTAAATTCGGCTCGAACGTAACTGAGTAGATGTGAAAAAAAAGTCCGTCAAATAAATATCCTGCTTAGTATCAATGTCTAGCTATATGATGTTTAGCTCATTAAATGTAAGCTATAAAGAGAGGATAATCACCAATGCATTGATAGCCAAAGGTAAATACAAATGTAGGTGAAAACAAAAGAAACATTCCAAAAATTGTCACGTGCAATAATTCTGTTAAGAACTACCAGTGCGTTTGAGAATTTATGGAAAAATAATGAATGTAATATTATTTCAATCTAAGCATACAAAACCTTGTGTATTCTTGTAAAATAATCTTTTAAAATGTAGATTTAGATCTCTAGCTATTACTTTACGTTTATTATTGAGTTGTGTTAACATTGTTTTCACCATTTGAAAAAAAAAACAGCAAAAATACATAATTTGTATAATGTGTAATTATTTTTTGCACATTTGAAGACATGAAAAAAATCAATGACTAACCTTGTTTTATATTTAATATTTTGAGATTGAAATTTGCTATTAACATGTACATGTTAAAGGAATTGTTTCTTTGCAGAGTCAACAGTGAACATTGACAAAGCAAAAGATGTTGGAAACAGTGTATTGAAATATATGAAATATAAAAATATAGAAGATCATACTTTTAAAAGAGCGCATCAAGTGGTAAGAATGAATGTTACGTCCACTTTGAAAGTTGACAATGAACAATTAGAGAAATTTATCCATAATTTTTGTTTCAGCGTCTCATAGCAGTTGCTAACCGAAATATCCCAGAAACATGCCAGAAATATTTAAGTATGAGTTGTGACAGGTTTCGATAAAAGTGTACTTTCAAGAGAGGCTAACAAACCACATTTATCTAATCTATTTGGAAAATAAGTAATTGTAAATCTGACAACTTGTCACAATCATCAACATTTGTTTTAGATGGTGAATCATTGCTTCAACGTTTACCATGTAAGAAAAATAGTACATTTTAAGCAGATATGCCAGCAATATCTTTGCAGTATACAGCAGCACTATAACAACCGAGCAATTGCGTTTGACGGCTATATATCCTATTCAAGTCTAAATGAGGACGAAATGCAAAATAGCGACAAAGGCATTATTGAACCTTGATACGACTGTCAGATCTGATGAGGAGGAATTCCTCAACAACATAAAAATAAACAAAATTGCATTACTATTCTTATCAATTTCCTGAAAGATAATAGTGTGACTGCAAAACAATCAGAAGATGACGCTGATACTTTGATTGTAAGTACTGCCATTCAGGAAACTGCATCAAATGAGACTGTCGTTGTTGGAGAGGATCCTGACGAAATTGTCTTGTTGTGTCACCATGGAGACAATTCAAGGCATTATTTGTTCAATAAATTAGATGTAAGACGAACACATCAGACAAAAAAGTATGGGATATAAAGAAAAAGAAAAATGTCATTGGATCTGACTTGTGTATTATGCTTCCATTTATCCACACATATACAGGTTGTGATACAATGTATATGGTTTAAACAAAGAAGCAGTGCTGAAGCTTTTCAAAACCGTTTAAGAATTTAGACGTGTCATTGAGATATAAAATGAAGCAGAACCAGATAAAAATGAGATTTCAGCTTATAGTGAGGAGGCATTAACTCTTCTCAACAATGGTGTTCCTTTAGAATGGCTAGATATCCTCAGGTTCCGGAAGATTACACAAAAGGTTTATACAATCAAAATATCCGTCCAAGTAGAGACAGTACCACCGACCACTGCTGCGTTTTCTGTCACTCACTGATTACATACCTTTAGACTCAGATAAGACTTGAAAACAATGAACTGGATCCAGTAGACTGGAGATGGGAAATATCCAACAACAAACTGTTTCCAATAAGAACGCATCTTTTGCCATATCCGGAACCTCTACTCAAAGCTATACGATGTACTTGTAGACAGAACGTGTACGTGTAGCAAACATGTGTTAGATTGTGTTAGATTGTTCACAAGGCTGTGGGGCCTGTCGGGGGAGCTGCTCGAAATCTTCTTCCATCCTATATATATATGACGATGATGGTTCTGAAAACTGAATAACTTTGATGTAATGATGAGTAACCTTGTGTTTGTATTCATTGGCATTGCAAGAAGATTTTAAGAAGATTGTTAGAAATCATTCAATCATATGTTGTAATGGATTACTATTATATTATATTATATAGATACAATGTATATTTGTACGATACTATATATAGCTCAACAAAAACAAAAAAATGTGGTGTGTTTAATTATATTACTGTTTTATGTAATTCAATTGCTATTTAATAATTAATAAACATACAAGTGATTGTTTAATTAATTATTTTGTAGCCGTGGTTAAAATATTTAAGTCTCAATAATGACAAATCTACTCATAATAATATATATGTTATAATGCTATCGTATTTCTGAACATATCATTTCTTTACATATATATAGATCTATCAATTCTATGTTTTGTAAAAGTAACAGTTTCCGAATTGATCATGTTTATTTGTAGTTCATATAACTATAATTAAAAATGGATTTTTGTTGAAAAAGTGAAATAGTGTTTTGACAAATAAAACGTAACAAGTTTGAACATAACATAAAATTTTGAAGCTTTCACTCATTTTAGCGACCCTACTTATCTGTAAGTTTGGATTATTTGCACAAAATATGAGTTTCAGTAAGTATAAAATCAAAATGAAGCTTTAAAAACAAAATGAAGTTTTGAAAATAATTTGGAACAAAATCTGTCTAAAAGATATATATGTTTACAATATGGATTTGGATAATAAATGCCCTTTTGCATTTTGATTACATGTACAATGTATTACATTATTCTTTTTAGAATAGGTGGAGTATATTATCTACCCTTATGTTATGAATGTAGTAAAATTGTTTAAAGTTAGTTTCTTGGTTTGTTATCGTTACTTTCAAAAAATATCCCTTAGATAATCAACAGAATGCCATGTTTCAATTGTTATCTTTAAAGTAAAAACTTGAGAATGTCCCGCCATTGTTATAAAAAGTTGGTGGGGTAAATTGACCCCCGAAATATGATAAATATGAGCTAAATATAAAAAATATATAAAAAGTTTATACCACCACAAGTTCCTAGAAGTATGTTTTTGTATTGAATTGCTCAAAAAATGAAACTTACAATTTCAACGACAACACATAGAACAATTGAACAATCTCTGTCAATTCAGTCTTATTCTAGTAGAAGTTTAAGACCTGTTTTCTTTCAAATATTTGAGCATTTTCCACCAGCCAAAGCAAAACACGTTTAAGCCTTATCATGTTATTCTACATATATTAAAATACTTAAAAACATTCAAATAAATTATTTTGCATTTTTTCTATCTTTGGCCGTTTTAAGGCCAAAATGACTGGACTATATGTTCAATAAGGGAAAATGCGGGTCGTGTTATAATTGACCTCAACACAGTAAAAATAATTATTTTGTCTAATATAATTCATTCAGATATAAATGAGCTGTGCATCAGTAAACTATAAAAAGTTATATTCATGTACATATTTCTTTTCCATGAATGTTTGAATTAAGTTTTAATTTTTAAAACAAAGTTCTTTGTTTCCAAATAAGACATGTCGACAAATAGAGCCAACAGTTGAATTGAAGTATTTTACGAGTTTTACTGTCATGGGCTTTCTATAACTTCTACTAAACAAGTGTATTCCGTAGATACCACCCCATCTGAAGTTTGTATTGTATATCTTGAAACCTATCTGTGTCAAAGGTCTAGAAAGTGTCCCGTATTCAATATGAATATGGTCCTTAAACTTTTCATAAATATATTTTGGGAATTCCATAGCATTAAATATATAAGACATAGGTTTGTAGCGATATCTATAACCATCCAACCACTTTTGCAGAAATGTTGCATTCTTTTCCGCCATTATAAAAGCTGACGATATAAAAACGGAAGACTGTTTTGACATTGTACATGAGTACTTCCGGAGTGGGTCCAATGGTTTAACAATAACAGTATCTGTATCTAAGTATATACCTCCGTACATAAGTAAAGCTTCAATTCGCATGATATCTCCTGCATGCTCCCTATAAATGATCTTCTTTCCGAATATTTTATCCGGCGGTTCCCTTTTAACATGAATAATGTTTGGAGAAAGCATTAAGATGCCTTTCCAGTAGAAACCGGTCGGCAGTGTATCGCCATGAATCAGAATTGCGCATGGCCTAATAAAACGTATTGCACCAATGAAACTTACAAATTCAAAAAAGGTGAGAGAACGTTTCTGGTATCTAACGTAGTGCAAAATATTTGGAACAGGCATCCTATCGTGACAGCATTCATTTATATATGCTTCCAAGCATTTGTCACCAAATGGAAAGCAAAGAACGTCATTATTCTTTAATTTTTCGTTTTCAAAAATATTTTTCTGAATCTTTATATGTTTTTCTGTGCATGCCATTGAAAATGTGATTCGTGGCTGTATTCCACGAATTTTTTCCAGAATGTGTTTATTGGGACAATTTTGCTGTTCTTTAAATGTCCATGAACTAAAGTTAGTTGTAACTTTCTTGGAAAAGTATCGCGTGTTCCAGTTGCTATGTACATGGCATAAAAGTCCTGTTTTGGTAGCGTTAACATCGTGAGATGTGCTCATTGTATCGTGCAAATATTCTACCATATAAAATGTTTTGTTTGTGATTATTCCTTTATGCTTTTTAATTCCATTTGTATATTTTTCTTCATTAGAGATACCTGAAAAATACAACTTGAAGATTTTGAATAACGAATAAATGTGTATTTCATACCTCTCAGTAAATAACCAATTAAATGTTTATCGAATGTTTGGCCTCTTAGAATGCAAAATATAATCAGTTATTTACTATTTAATATGTATTGTTTTTATCGATATACAAAAAATTTCAATTGCAAAAAGAAAAAAATATTCTAATAATATGAATCAAAGACACTAAAAAACTTAAGTAGATAAATAAAATTAAAGATTAAAAATAAAGTAATGAAATAAACTTGCACCTTTCCATCTTGTCAATTTCGAATGATGAACATGGTCAAATATCCACAACACTGTACACATCCAGACTGATAGTATAAGTAACAGAGTTCTACAATAGAATGAGTCCATGACTCTATCAGCGAGATATATCTCTATCTGTGGTCGATGTGTATATAGTAAAAACATCTGTTGCCTAGGATATTAGGGGAAATCAAAAGGCATTACTAACGTGAAAGACAGGTAGTCAATGAGATAATAAAGGAATTAGTAACATAATGTATACTTAATGTACTGTCAACCAGAGTGGGAAATAAAGACAACTTTCTGCTCTTAAATACCTCCCATCCAACCTTCAACCCACTACCACTCCCAACCCATCCCCATTCCCTCCAAAAGTTTATAATTGATATTTTTCTACATTAAAATGTAAACATTGAATTACTTTATTTTTTATTCAGTCTCTCAAAAATATAAAAACGACGACTTCTTTTAAGATATATTTCGTTAGTTCTGTCTTCTTTAATCATTTTTTTCATGTTTTTTACCCTAGAAAGAATAAAATATTTTACTAAAGTATCCATATTAATGTAAAACACACGCTTAATTGTTATAATTCAAATTAGCTTTTCTTTGTTTCTTTCGTCTTCAAAAGTGAAATAAATGAAAAGATTAGTTATTTCTGAGAACACTTTTTATTTTAAAATCTTAATTGAATTTTCAGGATATCTCTCTTAAAATTATTGAAAATATCTTACTTTTGCCACAGTCAGTACATTCATGTTGCACATATTCACAATATAGATTTTTACAATTTGTTCATTTTCTTTGTTCGAAAAGGGACATATAAAGGTTCAGGAATGGCTTTGCAAGAATTATTGGAGATCAACTGCGTATTTTTTTCTTTCACTTTCTTTTCAGTTACTACTTGTTAATGTTATAAAAGATATAATAATGTACAATTTTCTAAGCAATACAACACTTACATTCAGACTGTAATTCTTTTTTATGAATCATTTTGTTTCCTACTTGTCATTGTGGAAAGTCTGTACAGCAAGAATTACAAAATAGAGTATGTTCTATATTAAGTTTTACAAATTCTATTAGTAGCATACACACTATAAAATTTGCTTGAACATCTCAGTTTAAATCAGTGTTGTACATACATTAATGTCTTTAGATTGTTGAGTAATATTTTGTTAGGAAAACACATGCTTAATTGTAACATTCTGCTACTTTTACAAAGATATCAACTTACCCCAAAGTGAAAAGTAACGTTCAATACTCATAAAATGCGACTCTTCGCAAACACTAATTTTCTTATTATTTAAATTTCAAAGATTATACTTACAAAATATAAAAGACATAGTTGAAAATTGTGACTGTAACAAATGGGATATGTATATGAGTAATTAGGTAACTAAGTAGGTTAAAGACACTGAAACGCATTTTTCGATTATCGCTGCACTTGATTACAGTACGTTTCAATACTGGAATAAGGATTTTATTAATTATATTGATACGATTTTATTCTCATATAATCTTAACTTGAAATAATTTAAGAAGAAAGTAGTTCTTATAATACATCACTGTTATTGTGGGTGTTTTTTTTTGTTAAAACAAAATCACAATATGTATCAAAATTCATATTCATAGTTTATGTACCTGAAATCAACGAATTTTGGATGCCATTTTGTCGTAAAAGTCATACAGTGACTTCTAACAAGTACACTCAGTGAGGATAATAACTATATTGCATAAGAAGCTATTAAATCTGTCTCGTAGGATTTATGTAAATTTTGCACCTAGGTTAACAGGGAATTAAGTAACGACTGGTGTAACACATTGTTCCTCCTAAATTGTGCATTACATGGTGTAAAATATCCTTTCAACGACGAAATTATGATAAAACTGGTCCCTTTTGGCTTCCGTAGATTCCACATGTATATTATGAATTGCTCAAACTTTGAAAGATTTATATGGCATAAAACAGGATGTTACCTCATAGAGGTTAAGGAAGAATTCCAACAAAATTATGTTTTAGACATGTTTCCATGCGAATTCGACAAAAGTTAATATTTGAGTTCTACCACTAACACATGTTTCTGAGCAGGTGCCTGTGAGGTGACTTTTCCAACCAATGTATTATATTTTTCGATAAACTAATGTGCAAGGTAGGGGGGAGAAAGACAAAATTATGCATACATGAGACCCTAATACTGGGTCATTCCTTCCTGTTTAGCCGCGGAAACAATACTGTGGCGCCCTATGCATGACGATTTTTTTCTAAAAACACGCGCGGGCCTTCATGTTGCACACCACTCGGACTGAAAGACTATACTTGAGCTGGGATTCTTTCTGAAAATGCTTGGACATTGTTGGCCGCAGTTACTGTTAATATATACATGTTAAACTAAAATTGTCGTTGAAAATGCATATATATATATATTTTAAATAATCGTGAAATTTTCTTATTATTTCACGACAGAGGAATACAAGACACCAAATAATTATGATACATTGACATTTCATAAACATTTAGTACTTTGATCCAATGTGTAGACTTGTTAACGATATTAGTTTCTCTCGAATCATCTCGATATCAAATCATTGAATTACTTGCATTATGACGAAAAGTACTGTAAATTTGCTCTAATAGTATGAAACTTTGAAGCGTTGAGCAATTGATTGATTTTGTTGTAATTGGTTTGGTTTTTAATAATATTCATTTTTCTTCAATATTACAGACAAAATTACAATATATAAATTGCATTCAGGATTGAGTAGAAAGCTTAAAGCTTATATGAAACTCTCTGCTGTAAATACATATTAACAATTTATTTTAGTAACAACATGTCATAGTTTTTGTAGCAAATGAAATAGTTTTTGTAGCAACAGTTCATTGTACCTGCATTTTTACTCCCTCCATATATTTACAAGAAGATAATAAATACCTGCTACAAGTACGTACAAGTAGAGATTTTGATGCTAAAGCATCAAGTCGCCGGATAGAAATATGATTGTATTATCATAAATAAAAGAAAGTATCAGTTTAATGGTTCGAGTATAAAGAAAAGAGGAACAATAAGTTGAGTAATGTTTATTCATAAACACGTACGTATTCACGTACTTGCCACAATTGTATCTTTCTTGCTATAAACTTTGTAAAAGAGTTTTATGCAAAAAAAATATGTTATGTTATAATAAAACATCATATTTGAAGCAAAGTTGCTTATCAATTTTGTCAAGAAACTGTTATCATTATTAAATAAGCAAGTATTGTTTGGCAATATTTACCCGAGACTCAATAATTTTCGGGAGCTGTTTCGTTAGCTTACATAACTTATTATGATTGATGTTAACGATTTTATTGTAAGTATAATTACATGTATAATTATATCAACTATGACGAAGTTGTAACCTACATGTAGTAGGCGCAAGTTCGAATCTTGGACAAATCCTGTGTGTAGTTTTCATAAATTGATTTTTAGCTCGACTATACGAAGTATATGGTGAGCTGTCCTACTCGCCCCGGCGTCGGCGTCCGCGTCCAGATTTCAGATTAAAGTTTTGGTGCAGTAAAATATTTTTCACTATAACTTTGTCATTTCTTAAGGTATCAACTTCAAACTTCAAATATATGTACTTTATCATCATCCCCATCTTATGTGACAAAGTTCATAACTCTAGCACCAACATTTTTAGATTTATTTCCCCTTGAACTTAGAATTTTCCTTAAAAAATAATATTTTTTACTGTTACTTCTTTATTTCTTAAGGGATCAACCTCATACTTCAAATAAATGTACCTTATCATCATCCACATCTTATGTGACAAGGTTCATAACTCTAGCACCAATATTGCAAGAATTATCTCCCCATCAACTTAGATTTTTTTACTAGAAAAATGTTATTTTTTACTATAACTTTTTTAGTTTTAAAGGTATCTACCTCAAACTTCAAATACTTATTCCTTATAATCAATTTAATTTATGTGACAATGTTCATAACTCTTGAAGTAATTTTTACAGATTTATCTCTCTTTGAACTTAGGATTTTCTTTAAGAAATATTATATATAACTTTGTTTCTTTTTAAGGTAACTACTTCAAACTTCAAATATATACTTTTTATCATTACATACATGTTGTGTGACAAGGTTCATAACTCTAGTGTGACTATTTCTAGAATTATTTCCCTTGATCTTGGAATTTATTTTAACAAATGTTATTTTTTACTATAACTTTATACATAATTATACATAATTGATTTTTCTTTCATAGTTTTGTCCTCCTTACTGCGTCCAGTATTTTATTAGTCGAGCTTGGCTGTCTCCTGTGACAGCTCTTGTTATTATATCTTTTAACGTTGATAAATCGTGTGTTTCATTTCTAGCACTCTTTTTATTTCATAATTTTGATAAAAGGTCAAGTTTTGCAAAATACAAAAAGTATTATAAAAGAAAACATAAAAATCACTTTATCGAACCTACAGTCTTCAATTTGAAACTAACTTAAAATCTAACACCTTGTCATCGAGGCTTGTGATATGATTTGTCATCGAGGCTTGTAAAGCAAGTGATATGATTATAATTCTACTTGTAAATATACCGTTGTACCATACATTTGAACACCGTATGGTTTACTTCAGAATCCAATAATTACCGACAAATTATTACCGATCCTCGAATATTTGCAAAGTGACTATGAAAATATATATGCTTAATTATTGCATAAAACAATGCAATTCTACTGTAAAAGTGGTGTCTGCATAAAAAAATTATTCTTATGCACTATCGAAAAAATATATTATTTAGCTGAAATCAATATACCTGTCGTTATAGTTAACGTTTAATTGCCTTTCAGTGCGATAAACTATCAACACAAAGATTTATTAGTTTATTTGTTTTCTCTGTGTATCCAATACGATTACGACCCCTACTGTCATACCGAGATTTTTCATACAAAACTACTTTGATTTGCACTTTAACCAGCTGCCAACCATCATAGATTTTATAACAGTAACATATAACATGTAGTCACGTGATTCTGGGAGAAGCTGTTTACAATAAATAAGATAAAAAAAATAGAATATGTCTCATAACATACAAACAACCAGATAATTTAAAAGTGTCATTTCAAATATCATGCATGATTTATTTATCATGAAATAGCAACGCTTGACACGTTGGAAAAAAGGAAAAACATCCCTAAATTCAATGACTGATCCATAGGGATACGTCATTAATTCATTTTATAAAAATTGTAATGTTGCTTTTTACGATGTCAATATTTGAATATTTCATTTCATTGAGCAACATTATTGTATGTTTGAATTTTTGAGATTACTGAAACTTTAATTGTTCAGTAATTAATATGCTTTTATTTACAGAAATTAATGCCTTCTCCTACCATAGGTACCGTATAATATTAAAATGTTACAAATATAGTCGCCGGTTTCTACCGGCGACTAATGACATAATTTGTAAAGGATCATAAAGAGGAGCTGAACATGTCAAATGTGTAAGATGCAAATCAATTTAAATAATTTCTCAACATGGAAGAAAGGGAGATATGTAGAAAAAGAGGATATCAGAGTGGAGACACAGAAAGTGGAGTAGAAGGAGGGGGGGGGGGGGCACTGTGATATAATGGAAAGTGTAGGTCCTATTTAAGGGACTTACAAGAATTAAATCTTTTATCAATAAACAAAATTAGCCAATCTAAAATGATTTCTTTATAAAGAAGTAATGTCACGTGTCTTCAATTTCCCCCACATTCACAGAGAGGACTGCCTATAATATTTTTTTTGAAAATAAATGCTCCTTTAGTGAACAGTGGGTCCTTAGTCGTGTGTGATATATTTGATCAGTTCTCGAGCCAATATAATAGTACTTCGGGATCTTTTGTGAATTTGAGTTTAACTTAATTTTAAAAATACTTCATGATAAATTTCTGTAATCATTTGGGAGCTGATTACATTCAGAAACAGGAAGTGGAAGAAAAGAATTTGAATAAAGCTGGGTGCTGCAATGTATAAATCTAGAATTGGCAGAATTGCGAAGATTATATGTAGTTATATCGCCAACATTATCAGTAACTAAGTTGGATAAACACGACGGAGTTATGTTATTTTTCATCTTATCAAATGAAGTAAGCCTATGCTTTCTTCTCCCGATTTTAAGCGGTTCAAAGTTGTGTACAAGTTTGTAATAGAAACAAGTGTAGTGGCCCCAGTGATAATTCTGCAAGCTTCAAGCTTTATTTTCTCAATTTCATATTCTTGATGTGCTGTTATATTATCCCATAAGACATCTGCGTATTCAAGAAGTGGTGTTATAAACGTAATATAGATATTTTCTAGAGATTTTCTATCAAGAATAAATTTTAATTTTCTCATAACGTCGATTCGTTGACATGCTTTTGCTTTGATAGTATCAATATGGTGATTCCAAGTGCCGTCATTTGAGAAATTAACACCGAGAGGTTTTTGCGTCGTGACTTGAGGGGGTGGATAGGCTTAGGAACATTTCGAGAAATATTAATAATGATTCAGTTTTATTTGGGTTGAAAGTAACCAGCCATTTATTTGCCCATACAATACACCTCGATACCATACTCGATCAAACGCCTAAGAAATATTACAGAAGACGGCGCGATTGTTGTAATTGATCGTGAGTGTCCAGTCTAGTTTGAAACAAACTAAAAAGGCAGTGTATGTATAGTTCCCATATTTTTATAGATGAAAATATGACAGTATCATTTTAAAAAAAACGTTTTTAGTATTCCAAGTTATCTGATCAATCTGTTAATACATGTACATGTAATGACAAAAACGCAGGTATTTTATTGGCAGACTTTATGCCCAGGTTTGCCTTTAGTTTTAGACTAAGCCTCCAGATGTTGCTAATCATAGTGGATTTGCAATCTGAAATGTGCATTTTTGCATATTTACGATAATGCATATTATGGTGAATATTCAATCATGCTAATGAAATAAAAGATATAACATATATGGCATTCAGGTTTAACTTGTTTGGCTCTTATTTTATCTCCAATAATTTTTATTCAATGGAAAAAAAGAGAAAAAAAGTGTTTTCGATTTTTGACTTTTGAGGTTACAGTTTTTCCCACTACATACACGTATTATCAATAATTCATTTAAGAAATACATTTTAAACACGTTGCTTGTGAGTAGTTCTAGTAGCATTATGTACAACATGAATTTCCTCTTGCAAGTTCATTAATCTTCCGCGGCTTGTCAACTCAAACAAAGTTCTTTGTTTCCAAACAAAATATGTCGACAAATAGATCCAACGGTTGAATTAAAATGTTTTACAAGATCAATATTCATGGTTAAATTAGAAAATCTACTAAACAAATGCATGCCATAGATACCTTTCCATTTCGAATTTGTATTGAAAATAAGTCGGCCAGTTTGTGACGGTTGTCGCGACAGCTTTCCAAACTCTATATTAATAAGGTCTTTGTGTTTCCTTGCGAGTATACTTGGAACAAACATGGCATTGTAAGTATATTTTTTGCTGTAATATTCATATTTGTAACTGTCCAACCATTTTTGCAAAAATGTTGCATTCTTTTCTGCCATTATGAAAGCAGACGAAATAACACCATTGCCTTGCATTGACATCGTAAATGGGTACTTCCGCAGTCGGTCTAATGATTTAACGACAACTGTATCAGTATCTAAGTAAATTCCACCATATTTGATTAATGCTTCAATCCGCATTACATCACCAGCGTGAGCTTTAAAATAGACTTTCTGACCGGATATAATAGATGGCGGAACGCGGTGGACATGAATTATAATTGGAGAAATGGCCAAGACAAATCTCCAGTACTGTCCAGTAGGTAACATGTTACCATGAATCAAAATAGCACATGGTTTTATAAAACGTATTACACTGATGAAACTCACGAATTCATAAAATTTTAGTACTGACATATTATACCTTACATAATGTACAATATTTGGAACTAATTTCACATCTTTGCAACAAGAGTTAATGTATTTGTGCAAGCATGTATCACCAAATTCCATCCGCAGAACATTATCAGTTGATGTATTCTCTCGAGCGATTATTCTTTTCTTCACTGTAACAACTTGATCTTCACATCTTATGTCAATTGCAAATTTTGGATGTATGCCCGAAGGCGGCATGGAACGAAAAAATGAACAGTTTTGTACTTCACTAAAAGTCCAAGAATTTAAGTCGGTAGTAATTTTTGATGGAAAATACCTCTCGTACCAATTGCTTCTCGCTCTGCAAAGCTTTCCTTTCGCTTGCCCTCGATTATTAAAGCGTTCAGTGGAATTTGCTTGCATCCATTTACTTAAAGTTTCGTCTGCGTTACCAACGTCTGCGTGATCGCCAACCGATGAGTCTGCAAACATATAAACTTATAAACATAAATAGCAGAAACATATTATAAGTACATTATGCATTATTTTTAGTTGTTCTAGTTCTTACAACAATGCTATTATCAATTAAAACAATTTTTAAAATATCTCAACCAAATTAATGCCTTTCTTAGAAAAATATGTTTTTCTATGGCTAAGGTTTCGTGTATGATTAGAACATTTAAAACCAAATATTTGAACATTTTAACCAATATTTATCATTCTGTAACTGTTTATTTTTCTAGTTTTAACGCAAATTTAAAACATATTTTGGCGATTTAAAATACCACTTTTTTGGATAACTAACCAGTAATCACCAATTTCATCTCAAGTGACAAATTAATCTCACATGATTTCTGAGTAAGCAGTGAGAGACAAATAAACCATTAGACTCGATGTACTAGATATTATTCTGCTTTTGCCCGAGTCCAAGATTACTTATCCAATGCTCCCCATATTCGAGCAGAACAGAACTGTTCCTATTCGAGCCACACAGGCGGATATACTGGTAAGTAATTGATTAAAGACAGATGTAAAGATTTTAAAAAAATAAGAAAAATACCTTTCGAAACATGAAAATTAGATCCGTGGTAATGCAAAAATATCCACACGAGTGTGTAGATCCAAAACGTAAAAACTAAGAAATATCCTTTATGCTGAAAAAATCGCATGATTACCATGTGCAACAGCGTCTCCACTACTGTGGATATAATAACATATGTCGACTAAATTGTCTTAATAAGGTGCAACCATCCTTTTTCTGTTGGTGTTTTAGCGGATAAGATGACGAATGAATTAAAGGGTATACATCTATATCGTATGAAATATTTTCGTAAAAAGTATCAACGGTAAAATTATGTTGGTTCAATTATTATAAGGTTGTTTCCTGAAAAAGTTTTAACATAGAATGTCTCAGTTATTTATTACACATGGATAATGTACGTAAACAGAATAAAATGTTGCGGAATAAAATATCATGCTATTTTTAGTAGGGTTTTATCCGTTTAGCAATGATTTGTGCATGCGCCATTCGTTTTTAAGGTAATTATAACTACTATGTGTATTTTATACAAGCATTTTGGAAGTATTATTTTTTAAAATTCAAACAATGATTATTGCTGCAGATATATAGCTTTATACACTTTAATAAGTAAATCAAATCGGTTTGCAAAAGCAAAAGATAAAAAATAGAAATGAAAATTTAAAAAATCTCTAAAAAATTTCAAAGTATTTCCAAAACACATGCATACATAAGTCAGATATAGTAAATATCAAATAATTTTGTGGTGGAGGCTAACACGAGTAAAGCATCTTATCAAGGTTTCTTGAAATATAGAAATACACTAAATTTTAATTTTTTTTTTTTACATAATTATGTTTACTATCTTGTTTTTCAAAACGGGTATAATATGCTTCTAGAATGTATATCTAGGTGCTGGATAAAGCATAGACGGGACGGGAAAATTTAGGCGGTAAATCAGATTGTGTCACAATGTTCATAGTATTGGACGTTTCTTTTTCTTTTCTTTTTTAAATCTAATAAGACACCTATAAAACGGTGAAAAGCACTTAAATTCCATTGAAGGTTAAAATTTTGTGATAAATAAAATGGTTTTAGGTAAATTTATTTGTAATAATGGTATAACGGTAAAATAATCAATAGAATTCCTATTTTGCTTTGCATTTTGCGCCACCAAATAATGTCTTCTTTTAAATGTGATACGATTAGTGAATACCATATACATGTACGTTCACATAAGTGCTTTAAAACAGCTGCGTTATTGGTTTTTGTTTGTTTGTTTTGGGTTTTACGTCACATCGACACAGTATAGGTCATATCGCGACGTTCCAGCTTTACTGGTGGAGGAAGACCTCAGGTTCCCTTCCGTGCATTATTTCAGGCACGAACGGGCACCTGAGTAGAACCACCGACGTTCCGTAAGCTAGCTGGATAGGCTGTATTGGTTATGCTCAATGTTGTTTGCCATATATTGGACTGATTAATTATAAAATAACAGTCAGCCAATTCGTTGTTTTACATCATAGAAAATTTTGGTATAAACAATCATTTTCAATAAGAACAAAGTTCATACGGCAACGCCTTGGGCCCTTGGCTTATGTAAATCTTGCTAAAACTACATCATAAACTGCCAATTAAAAAAGCGAATTAGAGAGTTGTTGCTCTTCAATTCTAGTAAAGTTAAGATTGCAATATAGAAACCCAGCTCAGGCTATGTTAACAGAGGTCAAATAATTCGCCGATGTCGAACAACTATCATTCCGTATGGAGAGTGTGTCATGAAAGTTATTGGTATGTTAAATGTTACAAAAATAAAACAATATAGTTTGCATTAAATATTTATATCTTTATTTCAATAAATACAATCATTAATAGACCAAAATACAAGAGAAAAAATAAATTACATGTACAGTGTATGCACAATTCCCAAAAAGGAGAACAAAAATACAAAAACAAATATCCATAAAGAACAAACTACAAATGAAGAAAAATGTCTCGACCTTTCATCAGAAACATCTTTTTAATAAATACATGTATAATGTATGAAATCAAAAAGCCTTTCTGTTACTCTTAATTAAGTAAATTTAAGTATATTAAGTCTCCCAAACCAAACAATCATATTGTTCAAGTGTTTAACGACCATAAAAAAAGAAAAACATACATTGTATAGCAGTATGTGACACATCCATATTCTGTATAATATTTATCTAGCCACAATGTTCAAAATACCTTGTGAAACAAATAACCTTATCCTCGTAGCAGTAATCACAAGTATAGGACAATGTCAACCAGAGTGACCTAGTACTATACAGCTGGCTGCAATTTAAGTATCCTGTGTCAAAATTTTCCCATTTGTTTTAAGTGGACACAGCAGAGTAATCCTATTGTACAAAATTAGCAAGATAAAGGTTAAAATATTCATGTTCAATTTCACTAAGATAAAGATCTGAATGTTTGAGTACTTTCACAAGGTACATTATGAACTTGTTTCATCGATACTTCAGCATCCCACACTCCAATGCTTCTGTTTATTTTCATCTTGACTGGAATGTTATCGTGTCTCAATATTTCCATGTTATGTCAACAAATTCAAAAGGGGTGTAGACAGAAACTTTTCAATAATGATAAAAATAATACATACACATTAAACTTTGTGCTCATATATTAACTAACAAAATGAATAAATGATGAACCTTTGTTCATGACAGTTAAAGTATGATAATTTTTGTGAATAATGTTCCTTTCACTTAAACACAATTCCTACATTTATTCAAACATAATTCTGACAAATTCTTACAAATATCCAAATGCATTAAAATACCTTTCATTACATACATGCATATTAATCCCATAATACAAGAATTTAATGATTTATCATCACATAGGTCTGTAATGGTAATGTGAAGGTGATAATAATAAATTATCACACAAATGGGTGTGTATGGCGTATGGCATTCATATATTCTTGTTTAATCAGTGATTCACTTGTCCTCTCTTGTAAATCTATTCTGTACTTATACATAAACATGGCATTCTGCACCACAAAACTAAAGTTACTTATATGACATAAAGACGAAATTACAACAGTTTTGCAGTTAACCCTCGACATATGTACCATTATTTTACAAATACATGTGTGATAAATATATCCAAGTGGCAAGGAAAACATGGTTTTCATTACAAATACCATATACAGACAAATTAGATGATGCAGAAAAATATAAACCCATTTAGATACAAATAAAACCTACTACAATTAACAATTTTTAGAAACAAAATAAATTTGATTTTAAAAATAAAAAGCAGAAATTTTTGGCATTTTTAAAAGATTTATTTTCAGTTTAAACCCGGGCATGACCTACATTTTTTTCCTGAAAATTCTTTTAATCATTTTGAAATAAGTAAAAATGATCATATTCAAATGAAAACAAAAAAATTTTCCCCGAAGTCAAAAACCAGCTAATTATCAGTGATCAAAGAATTTCCAATAAGCTAAGCAGGTATGTCTAAATATCCTAATTTAAATGTTTACCAGAAATGTGTACCCAGTAACATTTGATAATAAAATTTCAACAATTCTTTCATACAAAATACAAACAAGTATCAGAAAATATAAACTTACTTCACTATAAAAGTATGATCAATTAAGAGAAACAAAATGAAAATGATGAAAAAGAACAATCAATCTTTAACAAATAAACAAACAATTTTCAGTAATTACATTCAAAAGATGGTAAATAAAATTCCATACATCAAGTTGTTTTTATTGAGCTTTCCTTTAAGTAATCTGTACATGATCAGAAATTTTATTACAAATATTTTCATCTAAATTAATTATGACCAATAAAGACAACTATTCCCAAACACAAATGTTAAGCGATACATAAATCTAATACAATTCAAATATCTTATAATCAGAATTTTTTTATAGCTAAGTTTAATTGTTTCAAGTTAACCAAATGTGTAAAAAATACCTTTTGTTTTGCAATAAAAATAATGTTTTTATTATTTTGAGAAAAAAAAAAATGACACATGTTTGTATGTTTTGCATTTACAATGAAGCAATGGGCAACATAATGCATTCTGTAATCTTGCCTTTACAAATGTTTACATAATCATGACTGATGTAACAAGACTGGGTCCATTTGATACAGTATGCAGCCAATAATAGGTTCCAGTCCAGTCTTTAACACTTCCATCTGATTGGTGGATTCTGAACACAGGACAAACATTGACCAATAGTAAAGTTGTATATAGAGATAGGCTTCGGTCTTTTATTTTGTAACTTTGGACCTATCTCTTCAATTTGTCCCTCATTATTCTAACTACTTTATGCCCATACATGTCTAAATATCACAGTTTTCATTTAGATTGTGTCAATTTAGATGACAACCTGAAAAAAGAAGAATTCAATTTTTATAAAACACAGTTCAGCACATTTTTAAAATCAAAAACCAGGAATAGAATTTATCTTCTGATGATGGGTTTTATGTGGAACCAACACAAGATGTCACATGGTGACTTTCCAGGTTTACTGGTGGAGGAAGACCTCAGGTGCCCTTCTGAGCACAAACAGGGTCCTGAGTAAAACCACTGACATTCAGTCACATCAAAAAATCAAAAGTCCCTAGCAGAATTTGAACTCAAAGCGGTGACAGACAAGTGGTTTGAAGTCAATTATTCAAATCCACAACCCTACTTCTGTTGATCTCTCATGTTATGAAAATTTAAAATTAATATGTAAGCCTTATTATTTACAAACAGCATCTCTTACAAGTCAACCTTTTAAAATAACATGTGAAGAGACAATTTAACGTCCACTATACTACAGTTGAGCTTTATTTGATTAATGTATGGTATGCATTCTAGTCTCAAGGATGGTCCTTCCACTCTTTCAGGCACTGTGAGTATGGACCCTTATTTAATTAAAACTAAATTTAAATTTACAGCAGCAGTATATAAAGATATATGGCATATTTCAATTGTCCAATGAAAATTAACTTATAAACTTGCAATATTTACAAAATCTTGACAAGCTATAAAACAAGGCAAAAATTACCATTCCATAGCTTCCTCCAGGCCAGTTCCTTTGATTGCAGATGTCTTAAAAATTTGATAATTTTGTTTAGTAATAGTTGTTAGACTAAGTGCATTGGCCACTTCAGCCACAGTCATAGCACCTTCAATATCCTGCTTATTTGCAAACACCATTATGGTAGCTTTCTGTAATTCTTCCTCCTGGAAAATATTGTACAATCTCTAAATCAACAAGCCTTTGCAAAAAAAAAAATGTAAAGCTAGTCTTGACTTTTTTTCCTACATGGATTTTGAATACACTGGTAGATATTGAAGGAAATTTTTTAAGAAGAAATTCAAATATTTATTTCATAAATATTCATGCCAAAAATCAAATATCTTTTCTGGTCCTTTTTCACCTCAAACTTTGTGAAACAGACAAGTAATTTTAATATGCTTATTGAAGACAGGGTGATTTAAATATTAAAACTGTGCAAACTGGCAATTTGTTCAAGCTATAAAATTGTTCCATGAGGTTATACAATTATTCCATACAGCATCTAACATGAATGAGGTTCAACATAATCACAAATCCCAATATTGTGTGAAATTTCATTGGTTTGGTTTAAACATATTTATATAAGCTCGATTGCGAAACAAGTTCTTGCAATTTATATTAATCACTTTTCAGGTCTGCTTCCAGGAACCAACCAGTACTGGTGTCATATAAAGAAACATGGTCATGAACCCATGATCTCTGGGTTGAGAGGCAGACACCTTAACCACTAGGTCACCGCTACCCTAATTGAAATTTTATATAAAAGATTGCCTAATTTAATGGCTCTTTACTGGTGACACAAATCTGACAATATTGTCAGTCATAACAGATCAGTTTAAGCATAATTATCAAAAAAAAAAAAAACCCAAAAAAATTTTTTACGGATAAAACTTCAAATTTTTTTCCTCTAACTTTGCAAAAAGTTCTTTTTTTGCTTTCCCTATTTTCCTTCCATGCTGTCACAAAAGAAAGCATCTGTGTTTGAATAGTAACATCTCCAATACGGTCTGAAATTTAATTAACATAACCTCAAAGAAAACAATAAAAAATTTCAATATTTTTGTTTGCTAGCTTTAAAGCGGCCTTCAGCTTTCCTGAAGGTTAAATATGTTATATTTAGATAAATTGTTTCATATAATTGTGAAATCAGAAGAATTAAGGTGGAAAAGAAATTCCGATCTTCTATTTTTAGAAACAATGCCACTGACATGTTATAAAAAGCTTTCACACACTGTTTTGAAGAAGGCTTAATAGTGATATGATGCACTTTTCCAAAAAATTCTTTTTGCAATTCTTAGTTTGAAACAACACAGAATTGTTTTTCCAACAGAAAATAAAAGATGAGAGACTTAAGTTATATTCATAATACTTGCAAGCAGTTAGCAAACAAGAACATGTATCTTGCTGGTTTTTGTACAATCATTAGCCTGACTTTACACAAGTTGCTGCCCAGTTCTCATAATCACCTGATAAAATTGAGGAGGGTGGATATTGTTGTTCAAGTTGAGGAGGATGGATATTGTTGTTCATCAGTTTGCCATGTACTTTAGTTTAATGTCTGAGGTAAATAGGCTAAAATCGTTCTCTACTAAGTTAATATGTATATAATGCTTTGATCTAGATGAGACAATGTACATTACAACATAAATTATAAAATGAATTGGAAAATTTATTACATGCTTTTCGGTGGTTTATAGAAATATATCAGTGATATAAAACTGGTAATTTCACTGTTTGAAACAGTGAAATTACCACTTTGATAATTTCACTGTTTTGAATTTAAGCCCCTTACGTTGTTTCAGTGAAATACAAGCGTGCACAGAATTGGGTACCAACTTAATGGTGTGACGTCGTAAATGACGTCACGTTGTATTATTATTTGGCGGGCTTTTCATTCGTTATTAGGTTCAATTTTTTTTTAAACGTTTCTTTGCATATAATAAAAAAAAAAATTTGTTTAGTTAAGTGTAAGATCGAAATATATTTCACCTTGTGAACACCAAAAGTTCATATTTCACTCGTGGCTGCGCCACTCGTGAAATATACCTTTTGGTGCTCACTCGGTGAAATATATTCCGATCTTACACTGAACTAAACAAATATCCTCTATATAACTATATTTTTACCTAATACTTGTCTGACCACCTAAATCCCATACTTGAAATTTCAGGTTCTTGTATTGCACTGTTTCAACATTGAATCCAATTGCTGAAATAAATAATCAAATACTATACTATACAAACTGTAAACGATATTCAACCTAAACATCTATATCTAAACATGATCATGATGCTCAAATTTTTTTTATTTGCATGTTATTGATGTATATATGTTCTGTCATATACCTTTTTTTTCTTTCTTCTTCCTCTTAACTTTGTTAAAATTGGCCCCCAATGGTTACTTATGATCATGCCTGAGAAGTTTTATTATAATCTACCTTGGTCATGGATTCAGAGGAGATGTTGTTGAAATTGTGGACAATGACAAATGCCAGGCCCAATGCCATCACAAAAATGTCACCATTGATTATTTGCTCTAAAAAAACTACAATAAAAATAATTATTTCAGAGAAAAAAGGAAGACACCTTACTTGGAATGGTGGTGACAACTTCTCCCACTTGTAATCTGTACAGAATTGTTGTTTTGCCAGCTCCATCAAGACCAAGAATCAAAATTCTTCTCTCTTTACTGCCAAACAGAGCTGAGAAATAACTCATTAAAACTCCTGAAACAATAAATAACATAATTATGGCACCTGAAATTAGGAGATGTGATTTCGTATTTAGGAAATAGATATCAATTCTGAGTGCATTGTTGTAGAATAATGCACGGTTTGAGTTCAAATGCGTAGTAATATCATCACGAAGGCCGATAGGCCTGAGTGATTAATTACAAAGCATTTGAACGAAAAACGTGCATTATTATACAATAATGCACAAAGAATTAATATCTATTTCCATTCTAACACGTCAAGAAAAAATATAATTATTATTATAATGTTGGACTTTATGTTTGGTGGTTAAATTTGTTTACGCCTCAGAGTTTCCTATAGAAACGTTCTTTAAAGGCTGTTCCAGTGGTATGAAAAAAACTATCGTTAAATCTTCCGTGTGTAGAAACATTTTGAGATTAACGAATTTTGAAAACGTTGATAAAACTTTGTTTGTTTATTTTATTTCACTCTATAATTTTTCAAGCGAAATAAAAATTATCAAAATTGAAATAAATGTAAAATTTAAATCGTTTGCGACATTAAAATAGCGTACTTGATTTGATTGTTTTGCACGTGCTGTTTGGCGCTCAATTGTGACGTCACGTAAACAATACTTTAAACGTCTGTACAGCGTTAACGACTGAATAAAAGATATTTGTGTTCGGATTCATTTTCTTAGTTAGACCATTTTCTTTCATTCTAGATAGTTTTCACAACAAAATTCGACAAAAAATTGTTTTTATTTATCAGATTTTTCAAACAAAATGGCGCCCTCAATGTGAAAATACGCAGGGAGATAATAAGAACGGCGAGTGCATTGTTGTAGAATAATGCACGCTTTGGGCCTTCTTTGTTTATATAGAAAAATTTCCAATAGTGTTAGAATAAATAATATGACGCAACTTAAATTTGTAGAAACCAGCTATTAATAAATATTCAAAATTTCATAATTATGGGTTTCGTATTTTCATCTGCACATTTTCTTATATCTACAGTTCTAATACAGCAAGTGCTGACTTTGCATGTTTTGACAAATTTTATGTAATTCTTCTATTGCATGATTTGAAACCAAATGTGTAAGATTTACATAATCAAAATTGATATAATTTTATGTTTTGTTGCTTATCGCTAATTTAAATAAAAATATGTCTCAAGCATTTGCCAGTGACAAATATGAAACATTTTGTCCAACACTAACAAACAATATTTCGCCAGTATAAGTGGTCGATCATTTCACCTTATGCACAAGGAACTCTCTAATTGGCTAGTTAATGTATTCAACATCCCCAATAATGGGTAGAATGAATTGAAATACCGTAGTCAAGGAACAATAACATGGGATCATTCTAACATTTTTGGCTCTGATTCTGACTATAATCGTCAGAGATTGAATTATTCAACTGATAAAACGCTAAATAAAATCATGACACTGATATACTTGGCTACAAACTATAAGAATTTGCATGCATCTGATGGGCCACACATATTTTGAAAACCATGTCTTTCTAAATTTTTATGCATCTATGAATAGGGACGCACATCTTAATTAATCACTGCTGCATGTACAGATGTTTAAGTAACAAACGGCACTTGTCAATCAATTTAATTCCTTTACCGTTGGGCGTATCTTAAACTTGATTAATGATACAGTACCGCTCAATTGATTTTTGCACATTCCGCTTTGTCATCGCAGACACTTTTAACAGCTTCCTGATCGGCAGACTTTAAAAAAATTATTTTAGCTGTACTGTAGATGTAGTTATTGCTAATAATTTATACAACATATGCCGCTTTATCATCAGCAAGTTAAAAATATCTTATATATATTGAAGCCTTGTATCAGTCTTACCATATATAACAAAAGGTAGTACAAGCAATGTCATATTGACTGTAAATTTACAAAATGTACATGCTTAAATTTATGCCCGACCATAGTAAGAGAAAATGGCTAAACTAGTAGTCGGTGGCATCTTTGAGTTACACTTGAAATAAATGTTTTAAATAAAAACATGCAAATTGATCTAGTCTAGCAGGACCTAGTTTGTCAGTTTTGTTGTAGTTTTGAAAAAAAACATGTTCTCGTGGTCTGCTAATCTGTGGGAAAATTGCACTTTTTTGACACAATAAGAGCTTGGGCGTCTCCCTCAAAACTGGTAAAAAGGCCCTCTGTTCATTGTTGTGAAGGCTACAATATTGAACAAACAGTTCACTGGGGTGTTTACTACAGAAGACACAACAGATGTGCCAGCCATGGACGGAGAAAGATACCCAGACATGCCTCACTTCACAGTAGGAGCTGAGGGCGTCAAGAAACTTCTCCTCAGCCTCAACCCCCACAAGGCCTCTGGTCCTGACAATATACCGACACAATTCCTGAAGAACTATGCCGAAGACATTACTCCGGCTCTCACCCTCTTGTTCAACGCCTCTTTGCAACCAGGAACAGTACCTTCAGCCTAGAAGAAGGCAAATGTATCACCTATCTTCAAAAAAGGTGACCGTAGCAACCCCGCCAACTACAGACCCATTTCTCTCACATCAGTATGCAGCAAACTCTTAGAACACATCCTACATAGCCAAATTATGAAACACCTTGACCATCACAACATCCTTTCAGATCAACAACATGGATTTAGAAAACAACGCTCAACTGAAAGTCAGCTTCTTCTCACTCTTCAAGACCTGTCATCAGCCCTGGATCAAGGGGAACAAGTAGATGCCATACTACTAGACTTCAGTAAGGCGTTCGACGTTGTGCCTCACCAACGACTCCTTTCCAAGGGACAGTCAGAAGCTGGATTGAGAGCTTCCTGTCTGGCCGCAGCCAAAAAGTTGTCGTTGAAGGCCATTCATCTGCATCCTCCCCAGTTACATCCGGTGTACCCCAGGGGACAGTACTAGGTCCTTTACTGTTCCTCCTTTACATCAACGACCTACCAAGGTGCGTGACTTCCATCAGCCGCCTATTTGCTGACGACAGCCTGATCTACAGGAAAATCAAATCAGAAGCTGACGCATTAGCCCTCCAAGAAGACCTAGATAGAATCCAGGAATGAGAACGCAAGTGGATGATGTCTTTCAATCCCAGCAAATGCGAAGTAATACACATCACCAAGAAAAGAAGCCCAATCAATTATGCCTACAAGGTCCACCAATCAACTCTTCAATCTGTCAAAAGTGGAAAGTACCTTGGTGTCAACATTGCAAATAATCTTTCATAGAACATACACATAGAATCTACCATCAAGAAGGCCAACAACTCTATCATTCCTTAGAAGAAACATCACAAGCTGCCCACAAGACATCAAGGCCCAGGCCTACAAGACCCTTGTTAGACCAATCCTGGAGTATGCAGGCACAGTCTGGGACCCACACACAGCCAACAACATCAACCAGCTGGAAGCTGTCCAAAGGCGAGCTGCCCGATTTGTAAAAGGCAATTGCAAAACTACTAGAGGTGCAAAGATACCTTTCGATGCATCGAAAACCAGTTTTATGAGCGCTGATTCTATTCCCGATACCAACTGTAACATTTTCTATTCGATTCCCCACCCAAAAATAAACATGGAAAAAGTGAGAGTTTTAGTCTTTTCCTTCGCGCTTTATCATGTTACATATGATTGGCCAGTTAAAACTCGGTCATCCAATAAGTGGGCTTGAATGTTTAATTTCGGCAAACAAGTCAAAATGGCTACCAACATCAATGTTGATAAAATAAAATTAAAAAATCCTCCTAAAAAATTAAAATCAAAGGTTTGGGAACACTTTGGGTTTCGGGAAGGCCAGGACACGGATAAAGCTACTTGGACACGGATAAAGCTACTTGCAAAATATGCTTAACGGACGTGTCATATCCAAAGTCCAGCAGTACGTCTAATGTAATGCAACATATGAAACGAAAACACGATGTGGACTTGTTTTCTGTATTGTTTACTAGACTAAGAAGTATTGTGTGACAACACTGACATTAGGATTGATTATTCATTTTACATATTATGGGAATTATTAACAGAATATCTGAATATCAGTTCTGACAACCTTGCGAAACTTTGTTCATTATTATTTACTTTACAATTTACATACTTTGTTAAATTCCTAGTCAGCAGAAGGTATCTGTGATAGTCATGTTACTGAGATTAAATATTGTTTGCCTGATTAAATTTTTTTTCCAAATAGACAAGAGCTTTTTATTCTCATAAACACAATTATTAAGCCAAATAAGTTTATATAATAGTTATATTACAACAGAAAAGCAAAGCACTAGGTTGAAGGCCACTCACTTTTGGAGCAGACAAGCAGAATTATATACCAAAGATAAATTAGTAATCTGAAATGTATCGAATCGAAAAAAATCGAATCGTAGTGTCTAAAATCGAAATCGAACATTTGGTGTATCGTTGCAGCCCTAAAAACTACCAGCAGCACCACTGCAATGATGACAGACCTAGGCTGGCCAACTCTACAGCATCGCCGCTCCAATGCCAAGCTAGTGATGGTCTACAGGATCACGCACAACCTCATAGCCATCCCAGCTGCACAGTACTTCCACCCCTTGATACTTGGTGGCCATGACTACGGACACAGATTCCATGTCCCATTCTGCAGAACAGACACCATGAAGTTCTCCTTTGTACCTTCGGCCATCCGCCTGTGGAACCAGCTTCCAGAGCACCTAGCCATAGCAGTCAACCTTGAGGCCTTCATGACTAGTCCTCCCTTGAATTAAGAAAGCTGTGGAATTCAAGTTCTTTTTATTGATGTTAATGAATGATGCAGCGAAATCCCCCCGGAATGCGCCTCAGTCCCCGAAACGACGATTTCCCTTGTTCCACATTGTTTGGCAAATGAACATATAGTAGGCTTTTCACCTTTATAGAACTATAATTTTGATAGTGGTAAAAAAAAAAAAAATTCATAATTTTTTCGGTTGTTTAGTATTTGGTACCTTATTAATATTATAAGCCTTCGAGTGTTGAATTTTTTTAGGGTTATAGAAGGGGTCCAGGGGCCGATAGGGATGGGGTGTCCAAACACTGAAAGTCTGAAACTGCCACCTGTGTTTGAGTGAACACTTGTCTTGCTGCTACGAAAGCCAGAAATTGGCAAATTTATCCCTTCAAAACAATAAATCAGTAAAATCTGTGCACACATTTATTTGATAAATATTAGTTATTATTTCATTTAATTGATTTTACCTACTTATACTTACCCATTTTGCAAATATATTGGAATGAAGCCGAATTTACTGTTTGTTGTGATGATAATTTTCTGACCAACGTGTACTTCTGCTATGCGCATGCGTGTTAAATAAAGAAGAAGATTCGTAGTATTTATGCTAACGTTGTTTTTTTTTTCAAGTAAAAAATTCTTTCATTACCAATAAATTATTAGATATAAAACAAAATAGAATAGTTTTGCAATAGATCTAAATGCAAACAAATGTGTTTTAAAATAAATGTATTTACTTGTAAATTCGGAACTAAAGCTTCGAACTATATTTCACTGAACTGTGAATAGAACGTTCCAAATTTTTAATGACAAAATGTCTCGAAGACACTCCGAAGGATGTCTTTTTATCGGTCGATTGAGTAAAAACTGCAGAGCAAGAGATCTTGAAGATGTATTTGAGCCTTATGGAAGAATGTCAAGATGTGAAATTAAATATGGCAAGTATTTACCCTCAGCCATCATGTAAATTCACAGACACTTGGGGTTTGGAGCTCAAAACGCCTTTAAAATCCAAATAAAATGCATATTTGTCAATCCCAGCACATGTACTGATCATATATATCAAAAAATCTTAATATATGCCGTTTTGAAAAAAAATCATATTTCAACAACTATAATAATACACAAGATAAAAATGTTCGCCGGAAAAAATCCGCACCCCTACCGTCATAATCACCATGTATTTTATTCCATTTCCAATATTTTCACATAATCCTTTGGTCCATCGACACAGAAGATATAATTCTTCACGATGATGGTCAATTTTAAACTTCAACGGTAATATAAACAACGCAACAGCCGAAATAAACATCAATATTATCGCCGTTTTTTTTCAACGACAAAATCTTTCGATAAATTCAATGGACCAGACGGCTATGAACGAAGCTATCCGATTATGTGGTTCCCTAACTTAAAAGCGCTGCGCATTTTGCACACGGCAAAGCTGGGGCCACATAATCGGATAGCTTCGTTCATAGCCGTCTGGTCCATTTTGGATTTTAAAGGCGTTTTGAGCTCCAAACCCCAAGTATCTGTGTGTAAATTGGCATGTTCATCAAGGAGACGCTCATTTCTTTATTTTTTTTACGTTAATATTGAAGCAATTCTTTCTTATTTGCTGATGCACGAGCGATGCTTAGCTTAAATCAATGTTTGACTGAATAAAAGTTAGAGACAAGCTGGGAGATCTTCAAAGATTTTGGCTAAAATGCAACTTATAACTACAAGATTATGCTTGACCACAGGGAAATCTGTCCTTATTTTAGTAAATATTTATATATAATATAAACAAGAATTACAAGTCGTGGCCTCGCATTACCAGCAGGGGTTCGTAAAATGCATTCACCAGGTCTTGTATATCGTCAGATTAGTGCATGATGCAGGAAATATCCACATTTCAATATTTACATTAGCTGTCAAAATGTTGTCCATTATGCAGGTGTGTTTATGTTCCGAGTATTTTCATTGACTGATGAAAAAACCGCTGTCTAACTGTTTTATATGAGCATATGTTTGCACTAGTTATTGTTTTACACATGTAATTTTTTATGAAGTTAACGATTCTTTCATCAATGTCCAACAATAAAAAAAAGCTGTCGTTTTCTGCGTTCTGTTTATTTTTTCATTAATTGAGCAATTTTGAGTTGTATCCCTTGTTATATATATAGTGGGAAATGAAAAAAATGACAAAAGCCTTTCTGTGTGCTCGACGGGCAATTAGGTATACTTCTTTAGGTTAACAGATCACTGAAAACCAAGGCATCTGGGGCCAAGTGGATAAAGTTGTTGACTTTAAACCATTTGCCCCGCATCAATGTGGGTTTCAAATACTGCAAGGAGTTTGGATTCTTTTGTATCAGGAAGTTACCCAGCTAGCTTGGCTTGACTGGAATGCTTGTAGATGTAGAGGTGCACTATTTGAAGTTTTATGGTCACCTATTCAATTTCCAATGTTATATCAGCAATTTTGATTTGATTCACAACCCAAAATGAACATGAAAAAAATGCATACATGTATTTAAGTCTCTCTCTGACTAGTTTACCGATTATTATGTTACATAGGATTGGTTAATTTGAATCGGTCTTCCAGTATTGTATTTTTGGTAAGCAAATCAGAATGGCTTAAAATGTGATTTATATGAAAAATAAATCTAATAAAAAATCCTCCAACCAAAACTGAAGTACAGGGTGTAGGAAAGGGAGTTTCACGAAGGTATGAAGGAATTATTAAACTAAGCAACATGTAAGGAATGTATTGCAGGCGTGTCATGTCCGAAGTCTGAAAGGTAAGTACAACTAACTTGATGTAACACATGAAAGATAACACTGATATTGATGTGTTTGAAAAACCAAGTTTAAGTCAGGAAAAAAGTCAGATCTGTAATTGTACCAGTCATATTACTGTCATGGCATGTGTGATTATAATTGTTTTTCAAAAAAGACTAGTTCTAATTTTAATAAAAGCAACAAAATAAAATAATAAAGTAATGAAAGGTAAAATAATATCCAACTAAATAAATGCAAAGAAACTATTGTAAATTTAATAATAAAGTCATAAAAAGTAAAATAATATCCAATGCAAATAAACCAGTCAATGAATTTAAGATTTTGATTTTACGGGCCCAAATTCCAGTTTTGAATTTATTCTACTATATATTCAACTAAATTTTCTTAAAATTTGGCTCCAACTAATTTACACTGGCCATGGGCCACCGGGCCAGTGCTAAATTCAATGACTGATTAACTATGTTAAGGGCCACTTGCTTTTAGAGTAAACAAGAGAATTTGTCAAAAACGAAAAAGTAATAAGACATGAATCCAATAAAGAATAATTGAATCAGGGTGCCTGAAATTGAATTAAAATCGATATCCATTTACTCCGAATCTGGAGCCCAGTTAATAGAATTGAATTTGGCAGTGCATGTCTATAATTTGACCAGATTCATTTTAATTTTAATGAAACTTCTAGATTACATTTAGTACTTGTATATCTAATTTTACTTTGGAATTGTTTGCACTGTTAATTTACTGTAATCTAATTCTTATGATAACACTTTATAACTGACTAACATTTTTTCAAATTGTTTAACTTTAGTTACAGGACAAAGGTAAAAAGGATAGGGCCAATGAAAATCTGTTGCATTCCCTCTAAAATAATTGAATTTGATTAGTGGAATTCAAGATGGTTGTATTATATCTAAAGCACTATATTTTTAGCAAGTACTAAATATATTTTTATAAATATTTCAGGAGCAGAGATGGGTAAGTAACCTGATTTAACTAATTGTATTAATATACCCATAAAAAAATCTAGAAATAACAGCTATACATAGAGCATTTTGAATGTAGGAGATTGTCTCAAAATCATGCAATTTTTTGCCATATTAAAGAAAAAGAATTTTAATGATTTGCTATTAATAAAGACTATATCAATATTTATTGTGTGTGTGTGTATTTGAGTTGATTTAAACTTGCCACCGATTGCCCATAGCCATCCAGAAGAGTATTAGTCATTTTAGATTTTGGAGGATAGTACAAGATATAGAAGGAGGCCTCAATTCCAGAAGCTTCTCATGGTTCTTAAGCGTGCCAAGTGTTTAAGCACTCGTACAAGGGACCTTGATTTAAAGTCTCTTGAAAGACTGATTAGCCATTTTAGTTGGCCAGCCCGGGAATTGAACCCACAATGTCAAAAATACAAGTATTGTGCTCTAACCGATTGAGCTATGCGAGCTGACATATATATTTATTATGTAGTCTAAAAATCTTCATAATAAATCAAGCTTCACTGCATGTTTAACTACCAGTTTTAAGGGCAAGGGTTCAGATTATGTTGTAAGTAATAATCTCATGCTAAAGTGATTGCATTTTAATACACTGAAAAGATTCAAAAATGAAATAAAAATATCTGTTTTGAGTAAACTAATATTTTGAAATGAATTTTTTTTACAATTTTTTTACAAACCATTAACATGGTTTTATAACTGTGATATTTCAAATTTGTAAACAAATCATTGTCAATGCCAATAGACATGTACAACACAATAAAATCTGTTTTATTAATTTTATTTGTATTGCATGTGTAAAGAATGTTAACTGATTAGTTTGTTTTATGTACAGCATATGCGTTTGTGGATTATGAGGACAGAAGAGATGCCGAGGTAAATTGATACTAGCTTTAAATACAACTTGGTTTATAGCTTTAACATGTCTTATTTTAACTGTCAACATTTAATTATTGACATTGCATGATATAATAGAAAGAGTCTATCATAGAATTGAGTTTTTTAATGAGAAGTAATTTTGTAATGCAAAAATGTTTAGCTCCAAAACAGCTAAAGTCAAAATAGCTTATTTTAGATTTCTTTATCTCGAGCATTATTTCACTAGAATTTTTTTTTAAAGATAATGAAAAGCTTATGTTAACCTGGGAAATAAGGTTTGTTAATTGATGTTTTATTTATGATATTTATAAACCTTTATTTTTACATGGATATATTTTAAATTAAATTTAGAAGATACAAATATATTTAAGATATATTGTAGTTTTCATGGATAAATGTAGTACTTTTTAAACTTTAAATGATTTGACTTTTGCTGGTTTGTATGACAAGTTGTTTTTATACATTTTATTAATGTTATTTTATATCATAACTGCAGTGAGCTCTCCAATACCAGACCTCACACAATTCGCTCCCTTGCCAATCACCTTTGACTTGAAGGGGGCCACACTTTGCTTTCCTACCACCTCATGCATATTGTGGAGCCATTAGAGTGACGACCACTTAGCCTGAATGCCTGAGTCCGAACTTCAGAAAGTTCTCCGCCAGACTGTTTGCCTGCTAGCCAGGCTGCCCCACTGAGTACCAAGAGTTGCCAAGTCATGAAATAATGCCCTAGATTTAACTCAGCACATTCTCCCTATTTGAACCATTGTTTCGCTACCATACCAAAGTTTGACTTGAGTTGATAAGCATTCAGCGGCAAGAAGAGACCAAGCCAAAAAAGCGTAGTCCGATAGCCATAGACCAATTACCAGAGCCATTTATACCATTTGTTTTACCATAGAGCCCTGTGTCATCGTCGACTTGTATTTCCAAAGCAAATAAGTATGTTTAGATGGTTTTGAATATGTGATAATTTTTATATATGTTAGTATGTCTGTAGTTGGAGTACTGTAGAGTTTTATTATTGATACATTTAGCTTTAATGTTTAAAAAAAAAAAAAAAAAAGACGTTAAGAGTTCTTAAAATTTAAAAATATAAAAGTAAAAAAAATCAATGAGCATGTTATTTGTTTGTTACAAAATTTTAATGAAAACTTTGTTTACTGTTATATTCGTTAACTTTCTATGGAAAGCAGGTTGATTCTGATCTGAAAATTTGCTGATTTTATACTGGAAAAAGGCCAAATGAGATGAGAAACTATGATGATCTAATCAATTGATATTGTTCCCATTCTTATTTACAATGATAAAATTATGTACTGAATGGCATTGTAGAGAAATGTTTATAATGCCAGCATAATGTGTAGGACCAGTTAGGTCTGGAAAAGAGTTAATGAAGACTTGTGACATAAACAGTGCTCTCCTTAAGCCTGTTGGGAGTGGGGCAGCAAAAATTGCTTGATACTGCAGAATTTGCAGCTGACTACTTTTTTCCAACCATGATAAAAATGTTATAAAATCACTTAGCCAAGTAAGGTTTAATGTGTTGCTAAAACCCTAAAACTTTCACCAATTACTTTTAAAGTTTATGGAGAGCACTTGTTGATTTATATTCTACTGTTTGTTTAACTAAGGTTTATGCCCACTTGTTGATTTATATTCTACTGTCTGTTTAACTAAGGTTTATGACTTCTGTATATTCTAACTATATCCTGTTACGAAGATTTTTGGCTAGTGTGAAGTGCATCAAGTACTTTAGTATTTGGCATGAACATTTATACCTTATAGTTACAAAAGGTAACTGACGTGTTGTCCACTTCCAAAACTAGATAGCTGTAAAGTTGAAAATATAAAAAAGGAAAAAAATCCTCAAAACTAAAAGAAATTATTTGCATAGTTGCTTTTCTTTTTCAAGGGTACCATAATGCATTAGCTGATAGCTTGTAGGTATAATACTTATAAAATGTACAAGTAATTTCTGTATTGTACAATTAAGATCTACATTAGGTTTGTTTGTTTTGAATATGATTATTGATATAATGGTGTATATATGGCAGGATGCAATCAGGTATGAGAATGGACGAGAGGTAGCTGGATCAGCCATTATTGTAGAGTGGGCTAAAGGTGCACCACGTAGATCAGGCAGGGACAGGGACAGTCGTGATATGAGAGACAGTGGTAGAAGCAGGGTAACTATTTATACATTATATTGTAATGTTTATTATTGTACATATCCTCATATAATTATGTTAAGTTTATGTACTGGACTTGCCATACTCTGTGAATTAGGAACAGTTTATTTCTGGTTGGAGGATTTGAACTAGTACAGTACTAAATTATCATACTATATGTTTAAGATGTAATCATGTTTATTTTAATGTTTATTTCAGGGTGCTGATGAGTGTTACAGATGTCATAGGTCAGGGCACTGGGCCAGGGATTGTCCAGATGATAGACATTATGGTTTCAGACGACCTAATTCTAGACGGTCAAGGTCACCAAGGAGACGAAGGTACTAAAAGTATTGAGTTAAGAAATAATATCAGTTTTAGCGGTGTTTATCGGCTTTTTAACACCGGTTTGGAGTTTTGATGAGTAGGAATTAACCACGAAGGGCTGAGTGATTAATTTTTTTTCGCATCAAAACAACAAACACCACAAAGACCAATATTATTTCGATTCTAACAAGACAAAATACGGAAGATCACTAATGTTATTTTTTCAAGCGGAAATAACTTCTGGTGCCGATTTTCATATAACGCTGTTCGATTTCGCACCTTATTGTTGCTAATATATAGAAATTATTAAACAAAAGAAATAAGAAGAAAAAAAAGTTATTAGTCCCCTACCGGTTTAACTGGAGGGGACTTTAGGTTTACCCTCCGTCCGTCTGTCCGTCTGTCTGTCTGTCCGTCTGTCTGTCAGTCCGTCAGTCCGTCCGTCCACAAAACTGGATCCCGCGATAACGCAAAAAGTACTGAAAATATTTTTATGAAACTTGATATATGGATAGATGGCAGTATGGAGATTATGCACGTCTTTTTTTTTTCTTCCTATGTTGAAAATTCTGGTTGCTATGGCAACAAATAGTCTGAAAATATGGCAAATTTAACACATAAACTGGATCCAGTGATAACTCAAAAAGTACTGAAAATATTTTTATGAAACTTGAAATATGGGTAGATGGCAGTCTGGAGATTATGCACATCTTTTTCTTTTCTTCTTATGTTGAAAATTCTGGTTGCTATGGCAACAAATAGCCTGAATTTCAAGATTTCTGATTTAAATTTTTCAGCTTTTTCACTTTATGTTCTTTATTTCTTAAGGTGTTTACTTCAAACTTTAAATATAAGTTTCTGGTCATCAACCACATCATATGTGACAAGGTTTATAACTCTAGCACAAAAAATATCAGTATTACCTCCCTTGAACTTAGATTTTTTAGGGGAAAAAATGTTGTCTTTTTTAAATAACTTCTTTATTTCCTAATGTATCTACTCAGGGCTCACGCTGTCGGTCGCCATAGTCGCCATTTGCGATTATTTTATAAGATTGGCGATTATTTTTGCATTTTGGCTACAAAATCTGGCGATTATTTTTTACTTCCAACAGTGTTTATATAAGGTGTAAAAATCGATAATGAATGCAGTAGACCCAATTAACACCAGCGGGGTGCATTTAATTGAGTGTCAACTTTTTACCGGTCACGTGCTGCTAACTATATTGCCCGAGGTGATAAAATACATGCGAGATGTTTAATTGTATAAGTACTTTAAAGATATTGTCCAGCATTTGTAATAGCCATCAAATATCCGTCAATTAGCCACAAAAATCGTTTTAAAATTGATAAACTGGATATTGACTTACCCAAAATTTACCGTGAATTCCAATAATTGCAAATTTTGATTTTTTGTTTGTTTTAAGCTACTTGACTAAATCGCCAGTGGAAAACAATGGTAAAATATTTAAAAAGTATTAAATTCCAAAAAACTATTTGCACAACAACCAAAATTGTGAATATTTCTTCAGAAAACAGGAAAAATCCGATTGTCACATATTTTCGCGACACCGATAATTTTGATATTTATTTAAAGGTGAAATAAGCTATGTTCTGTTTAAAAATCTTTACTACTATGGCAGAAAATTTGTATTACATTGGTGATGATGATATTTTTCAGTAAATTATTCAGAAAAAAGGCTGCATTCTGTGAATGAGTTTGCAAACTTAATTGTGTTATTTCTATAGGCTAATATGACCTAGATCTACTCCAGTTCTGTGTGAAATGTAGAAATTGACAGTGGTTATAGCTGACAAAATTTGATTAGAACAAACAAAAAAAGTTGTCTGATAACAGCATTATGTAAAGTTATAATGAATCTTTAATATTATTGTTATACAGTAATAATACTAATTATAACGTTTTTATTCTGTTCTATAATAACAATTAAAGTTGTGGTTCTATTTAAAAAAAGGTAGTTATCAATATACACAAATGTATCAGTTTATTTGAGAATCCTTTTAAAGCTGAAATATATAAATGTAATGTTTATTTAATCAACTGCTTATGTTGTTAATCACTAATTCGTGAATAGTCCGCTGAAATTTTGGCTATTATTTTTTTAAGTTGAAATTATTGGCTATTATTTTATTTGAGCCAGTGTGAGCCCTGATCTACTTCAAACTTCATATATATGTTTCTTATTATCACTCGACATTTTTGAGAAGGTTAAATACTCTAGCAAGACTATTTCCAGAATTATGTCCCCCTTGAACTTAGATTTTTTTTCGAGAAACTGGTATTTTCACTCCAACTTCTTCATTCCTTATAGGATTTACTTTAAAATCCCACATCGTAATAATATGACAAGGTTGTATAAACATAATTTCCTTACTAAGCATGGAAACTTAACACATTACTGTGATATAGACAAACTTATTTTATTATGTTTTGTGGTCGATATTTTCAAATACAGACTTCATCCTCAAATTCATTATAAATGGCAATACACAGGAGTGTATGACAATTAAAGAACTTTTTGAGGGACCGGTAGGGGACTACTGTATTGCCTGCAATACTATCAAATGCTTGTTTTATCATGTTTCAACAATAAAAACTTACGTTTTAGAATGAATAGCATTGTGTTTACATCAGTGCCCCATTTATCATTCTTTAATGTTTAAAATGACATCAGCGTTTATGAATGAGTTGTTTACTTAGAATCACGTTATTATGCTGCTTACAGATTGGCGCCGTTTTATCAAAATGTTTTATTAACTGATATAGATCAAATCTGTGGCGTTGGTGTATGTGAGATTTTTTTTTCGGTATTGTATGAAAAGAAAACATTATAAGAACTGAAAATATCAATAAAATGCTTTATTATTGTTGCTTTAAAAGGCTTTGTATATATATATAATCGAGGGAGAAAACATAACAGCCGCACATACAAGTAGTCCCTAAAAAGTGTTTATTGGCAGTTTAATACTGGTTAGTTTTCTTCTTTGTCTATAGTGACAAAATCATGAGGAGTGTTAGAATTTGAAATATTTTGTCAATGGACACTCAAATACAAACATGCATATGAAGACGTAAACCAAGCTCTTTTTCTAGAGCTCTTACACATTTCTGTAAGAGGAGAAAATCTCAAAATTTAATTTAGCTGTTAAAAGCATAAGAACAAAATCACCAGAATTTACATTTGACTTAAGAGTTCATTTTCCATAGCCACTTATGAGCCTCATTCTAGTAACATATGTCTTTAAAGCTTCTTTATATGAGATTTTTCATTATGTTCACAGTTGAGGTGTGCAAAAAAATCTAACCAATTGTGACAAACTTTATTTAACTGTACTAAAAATCAAAATATGTCGAGATTAAATTGTATAACAGTTGCCTCCCTTGATTTTCAAAGGAAATAAGTGAATGGTTTTTTGAATTGCTTTTTATGTAATGTTTGTATTTTCATATAATTATTGGGTTTATAACATGACTGACTTGCCTTTCACTTTTGTAGGTTCAATTCTTTCTTCTAAGGCAGCAATTTAGCTAGCTCTCTTGTCAGTACTTTTCCTCTTTTATTTCTTTCTCCAAAATATTGCTTAGATTGAATCTTCATTTAGCAGTTAAGCTGGAACAGAGACATACACCTTACGTATATACATTGCTATATTTGAATATATCAGAAGTTTATTGTTATATGATAACACTTCTTGTAGGTCAAGGTCTAGATCAAGAGATCGTAAGTCAAGGAGCAGAACTAGAAGTAATGATAGGAGGAGGGGTAGTCGTAGATCACGTAGCAGGAGCGCTAGTGATGACAACAAATCACCATCTAGGTCAAGGTCACGTAGCAGGTCAAGGTAAGGCTTTTTTTTTATTTTTGAAATAAGAGCATTTTCCACACCCAGCTAGCTCAAAAGGTAGAGTGTTGGACTGTGAATCTTTTGACATGTGTTCGATTCCAGGACAGTGCAGGTCACTTTCGTTGTGATTGATTATGAAATACTTCCTACGGCTATTAGCACTGTACCTCTGCTCTTTCATGTACAGAAGTTCAATTCCTTGCAAAAGTGAAGGCAACTAATACTGATAAACTACTTGACAGTCTGTCCAGGAACAATGCGGTGGCTGAACTGTTAAATTCATTGTGGGTTTCTACCGTGATCCAGAGTGAAAACTACAAACACCACCACACACTTAGAACTTTAAATACTATATCACTTGTAATGACTCTGTCAGCGTCCATTTTGCAACAGTTTATTATCGGTTATCTGTTCTCAGGACATCAAAATGATAATTCAAAATTGATCAGTCAACAAAAGTGCAAGGTCAGATTGCATGGATATGCAGACTAACCCATGTCTATTCTGATGGTAATAGCTATTCAGTTTCGGTTTCAGAATTTATAAGGGTAAAACAAAATGTATAATAACTAGACACAATGAACAAATGTTGCATTTTGAAGTTTGATAACAGGCTAGGTCAAGTATTATTTGTCATGGGAAGGAATGATTGTTGCTGGCTGTAACATGTATGTGTATACAGTACAACCTCTGCAAAATGACCCTCTATTGAGCAATTACCTCTTTACAACAACAATTATTATTTTTCTCAGAGTAAAGATTTTCACTTCATTTTAAGGGCTTGGTACAAAACGATTGTAACTCGTATTACATAAAGAAGGAGTTACAACCCTTTCACACCAAGATATCAAATTTTTACTTGTGTAGAGCAGGAACACCTCTATGTAGCAACCAAAATGTTTGTGTCTCAAAGGGAGTTGCTCTGTATAGGTTATACTGTATCAGATTCTCAGTTGATATCTGTACTCTACTTTTCCCTGATTAATGGCCAAATTGGTGGCATCATTTAGCCAGAATGTCTTTAAATATTTCAATGTATATAAAAAGATTGGGATTTCATATTATTTGATAAAAAAAACAAGCCTTAAATCCTTGCCATATTCAGAAAGTTAATCACTTTGTTGTCACATTGATCTATTTTAAAAGATATTTGCACCATTTTAGACTGTAAAATGATTGTTAGTAAATAGGAACAAATGCTCCAGTTTTCAGGCCTGTTTATACTGGGCAAAAATGTAACAACTTTTGATATATTTTCATCATATTTCAGGTCAGCAGAGGGTCAGGATTTGAACGGGGATGGGAGCAGGTCACACAGTCCATCCGAAGGACAGAGAGAAAAATCTGCCTCTCCTTGATGCGTACAATGTCATCTCATTACAAAACATTTAAAGCCACAATTATGTGGAATTTATGTGGAAAAAATATTGTGTTTTCATTTTATTCCTGTAAGAGTTAGCTGTTTGTTAGTTATAAGTGATGAATTTCTTCATGAAATGCCATAGAGCATATTTTTGTTCTTTTGTTAAGGCACATGAAAGTTAAAGTAAAATAGTAAAACAGTATTAAGTTCTGTATTTTTTAGTAATTCTGTTTCTTTTTTTTTTATAAAATTTTATAGCCAATTTATAAGTTTTTTAGCAGTACAATTTTTTAAATAATTCATCATAAGTATGACTTGTATTTCTGGCTCAATTTTTTACTACATGGTAAACTGCTTTTATTATTTTGTACGTTGAGATATTCTGTTTTGCCAGTTTTGTACTTTATCTATGGAGAGCTAGCAATATTTTTGCAAGACTATTATTATTCTGAACATAGTAATGATTATTCAATGTAGCAAAAGGAAAATGTTGATATTTGCAGTGTGTTAACCAGCATATGACTGCTGTTATTACTTTAGTTAGAAATAGTTTTGTGATATTTTTTATAGAAAAAGTAAAAGAGAATTATGTGCTTTTAAAATAAATTTTTGCGCAAAAAAGCAACAATTTAACAACAGTCTCTGATTTTCTACAAGTTGCAGGTTTTTATCTCAGATTTCACCATTGTAAATATACCATTTTTTATCATCAGCTATTTTGACAGTGTCAGAATCTCTCCATTTCCATATCAGGTGGTTTTTGTTTGTTTCATATATTGTAAAACTGTTAAAATAGCATTGAAAGGCTGTCTCTAAGCTTGGAATTGTTCGATCATAAGTATGAGTTTCAGATTGAACTATAAATTATAGTATTATTCTATTCGAAGACATTTCCCCATATAAATATAATAGAGCATCTTTCTTTATTGACCAGTGTGATTTCAGACCTGTCAATAATGTGATAAGATAGATTTTATGACTTTATACTAAACATGTCAGAATCAGTCTTTAATTCATTAGAAGGTTAAATTAGATTGTTCATACTTTTGAAAGAAAGCTGGTAACCTATTGAAATTGTTCTGTCATATAGAAGTATTGACATTATCTTGCTGCTCCATTTATGTTGTTTCATGTACATTGTATTTGAGAAGGAAATATTACATGTATGTACCACCACCGTAAATGCTGTTTTATTAGGGCAAATAAATATTATGACATAATATGTCTTGTTATTGTGTTATTTAATTTTTTGTGACATTCTGAAAATTTGGTCTTAATTGGATCATTGGTGGAAAATTTACACCGAACAAAAAGGCTACTGGAAACACTGTTGATGAAGTGTACAAAGCTACATCTGATGAAATATTTTTATAGAAATTTAGAAACAGGAACTTTTGCTTTGTCATAACCTAATGTTTGCAAAGAATGACTATGTAATTAGGCATATATGATTACTGTATGTAAACAGAATAATATGTTCTGGAATAAAATTATTACACAGATATTTCTAGTAGGTTTGACGATGATTTCACACATGCCCCACAGTGGCTTTCATTAAAATATATTGAAAAGTTTCTTTCATTTTTAGCTTGACTATTCGAAGTATATGGAGAACTGTCTTACTCGCCCCGGCGTCTGCGTCCGCGTCCAGATTTCAGATTAAAGTTTTGGTGCCGTAACTTTGTCATTTCTTAAGGTATCAACTTCAAACTTCAAATATATGTTCCTTATCATCAACCACATCTTATATGACAAGGTTCATAACTCTAGCACCAATATTTACAGATTTATCTCCCCTTGAACTTAGAATTTTCCTTAAAAAATACTGTTTTTAGCTCACCTGTCACAAAGTGACAGGGTGAGCTTTTGTGATCGCTTTTCGTCCGGCGTCCGGCCGTCGTCCGGCCGGCGTCCGTAAACTTTTACTTTAAATGACATCTCCTCATAAACCACTAGGCCAATTTCATCCAAACTTCACAGGAATGTTCCTTTGGTGGTCACCTTTAAAAATTGTTCAAAGAATTTAATTCCATGCAGAACTCTGGTTGCCATGGCAACCGAAAGAAAAAACTCTAAATATCTTCTTTTAAAAATCCTAAGAGCTAGAGCTTAGATATTTGGCATGAAACATCTTCTAGTGAGTGTCTACCAAGTTTATTCAAATAAAAGCCCTGGGGTCAAAATTGGCCCAGCCCCAGGGGGTCATTGAATTTCCCTATATGCATATAGTAAAAACTTAAAAAATCTTCTTTTAAAGAACCCAAAGAGCTAGAGCTAAGATATTTAGCATGAAACATGTTCTAATGAGTGTCTACCAAGTTTGTTCAAATAAAAGCCCTGGGGTCAAAATTGGCCCCGCCCCAGGGGGTCATTGATTTTCCTTATATATGCATATAGTAAAAACTTAAAAAATCTTCTTTTAAAGAACTCAAAGAGCTAGAGCTAAAATATTTAGCATCAAACATGTTCTAATAGGTGTCTACTAAGTTTGTTCAAATAAAAGCCCTGGGGTCAAAATTGGCCCTGCCCCGGGGGTCATTGATTTTCCTTATATGTGTAAAGCAAAAACTTAAAAAATCTTCTTTGAAAAAACCCAAATAGCTAGAGTTTAGATATTAAGCATGAAACATCTTCTAGTGAGTGTCTACAAAGTGTGTTCAAATAAAAGCCCTGGGGTCAAAATTGGCCCCGCCCTGGGGGTCATTGATTTTCCTTATATGTGTATAGCAAAAACTTAAAATCTTCTTTGAAAAAACCCAAATAGCTAGAGTTTAGATATTAAGCATGAAACATCTCCTAGTAAGTGTCTACAAAGTTTGTTCAAATAAAAGCCCTGGGGTCAAAACTGGCCCCGCCCCAGGGGTGTCATTGTTTTTAACTATATGTGTATAGTAAAAACTTAAAAAAATCTTCTTTTAAAAAGCCCAATGAGCTAGAGCTTAGATGTTTAGCATGAAACATCTTCTTATGAGTGTGGGGGGGGGGGGGGGGCTATATACAGGTGAGCGACCTCAGGGCCATCATGGCCCTCTTGTTTACAGTATTTATTTATTTCATAAGGGATCAACTTCATACTTCAAATGTATGTTCCTTATCATCAACCACATCTTATGTGACAAGGTTCATAACTCTAGCACCAATATTTTCAGATTTATCTCCCAGGCTGTCAACCAGGTCTTATCCAAAATAAAGGAGGAATATAGGAATATTTTAGCAGGAAATATAGGAGTTTTTGGACCATTTTGAGGTAAAAAATAGGAGTTTTCAACTTAAATTGTTTAACTTACCTATGCTTATATAAATGTAAATTATTCTTACTTTTACACATGCTGTTTCTACAATAAAATGTCTACCGTATAAGTGAAGGACACCATTAGCAGGCTGTCCAGCACCTTCCGACATAAAATTAGGGCGAATTTTAGGGTAATATTTCAGAAATTTAAGGGCTAATATTAGGAATGTTAGGGTACATAATAGAAATTTTAGGGCTAAAATTTGCAATTTTATAACTGAATAAACTAAGGTCCCAAAGGACCATGATGAGGTCTAATCTTTGCATATTTGACACAAAAGTAACTCACAAATAATGCTCTAGTTTAGTTAGAGCAAAGGTGCTACCAGTGTGGACTCACTGGTCAACTGCCTCCCCTGCGGAAATGGTCATAGTCAAATCATGTTCAAACCATATTTTTTTAAACTGGCTGAACATGTCAAAAAGAACATGACTGTTCTACCTATGTTTTGGGAATGTTATAACCACAAGTGTCTAAAAGGAATTCTTATACAGTGAAATTCTTGCACAATGCAGCTTTTGAATATGGACAAATGAAATTTTTTGTACAAGTAGGAAGTAAAAAGGCATTTGCCTTAGTACAGTTATTTGAATAAATGGGAAGCATCTATAATCAACACAAAGAATTGCACATCAAAAAAGTTCATCACACAGACCATTCAATTGCAGTTTATCTAGATCATATAATTGCAAAATGTTTGTACATGGAAATTGGAAATGAGCTTTATATTACTGAAGTGCCAAATTATTTTTGAGTGCGATTAATTTCATGAGTCTGCCTTTTCCTAAATTGCACCAGATGAATGAAAGAACAAGAATTGAATGAAATTGATAACTTTGTGGCAAAATAAGCAAACTCTCCTACAAAGACATCGAAAAGGATAAATAAGTATGTGGGTAAGAATAATTTTTCAAAGTCTACATTAACCCATTCAGTACTTTACAATGTTGTTTTGAAATTATGCAGATTTAAATAAAAGAGTTGTGAGTAAACAAATTGTACATTAATTTTTGACAACTATTTATACATGTTTTTAATTAAGATTGTGTTACAACAGCTTCATAATGATAATTTTTAAATATGATATGATATAAATGGACCACTTCAGAAATTTGAATAAAATGAACAAACATAAAATTCAAGATATCTGGAGTTGGCAAAACAGTGTCAAAATATTCCAGAATAAGTGGATTCTTATGGTTATGATTTGAGTTTCAGGACCATGATATGGTAGTATTTTTGCTGTCAATATGATTATCAACAACTGCTTTGATTATGAAATAGCAATGTTACTGACATAGTTAAAGTAACTTTTAGTTAAAATGAAACCATTTCAATGTCATCAATTTTGAGTTGGTATATCATGGCCAAATCATTTTTGACCATGTTCAAAACATGGTTGACTTAGTTTTGTCCGTGATTATTTTGACAGGGTTACAAGTTATAAGTATGTTTATAACAAAAAGATAAAAAAATTAGGAATATCAGTGAAAAAATAGGGCATCTTTAGGAATTTCCTTTGAATTTTTCACTTTTTTAGGAATTTTTGCTTAACTGAAAAAAATTAGGATTTTTTTAGGAATTATAGGGACGCAGCGGACAGCCTGCATTAGTGAACCACAGCATCAGCATCCCGGCAGAAAGTTACAGCAATGCATGACCATCATCTGAATGGTTACCTGAAATAAAGTTGACATACTGATGCACTGCTTTTCATGGTGACCATGCAGATGGCTATGAGGAGCACAGCAGCCTTGAGCATAGTAATGTGATGCTGATGCAGGCATACACATTCTCTTACCTGTAAAATACAAAATGCCAAAAGCAGTACCAAAATTTAAATCTCATTGAATTCCTCGGCAATATATTTTTAAAAAAATATAGGAAAAATAATCAAAATATAGGAGAATATAGGAAAAATAGGAGGTTTTTTAAAATATAAGATTCCGACCCAAAATATAGGAGTTTTATAGGAATATAGGAATTGGTTGACAGCCTGATCTCCCCTTGAACTTAGAATTTTCCTTAAAAAATACTGTTTTTACTGTTATTTATTTCTTAAGGGATCAACTTCTTACTTCAAATATATGCACCTTATTATTGATCACATGTTATGTGACAAGGTTCATAACTCTAGCACCAATATTTTCAGATTTATCTACCCATAAATTAAGATTGTTTTTACCTGAAAAATGTTATTTTTTACTATAACTTTTTTAGTTTTAAAGGTATCTACCTCAGACTTCAAATACTTATTCCTTATCATCAATTACATTTTATGCGACAAGGTTCATAACTCTTGAAGCAATATTTACAGATTTATCTCTCTTTGAACTTAGGATTTTCTTTAAGAAATATTATAACTTCTTTACTTTTTAAGGTATCTACTTCAAACTTCAAATATATATTTCTTATCATTACACACATTGTGTGACAAGGTTCATAACTCTAGTGTGACTTTTTCCAGAATTATTCCCCTTGATCTTGAAATTTATGTTAACAATGTTATTTTTTTACTATAACTTTATACATAATTATACATAATTGATTTTTCTTTCATAGTTTTGTCTTCCTTACTATGTCCAGTATTTTATTAGTCGAGCTTAGCTGTCTCCTGTGACAGCTCTTGTAGGTACTCTGGAATCAATATAATCATGATATACATGTACACAATAATTTTACAATCCACAAGCAGCAAATAGAATATATTATAGCTTTATACACTTTAATCTTCCATCTATAATGTCCTACAGCCTTGTTCTGTATCTTCTAACTGGCGGGTCAGATTTGATTAAAACTTGGCTTCATTGTTAATATCAGTAACGAAATGAGGCTCCTCCGTAATGCCATTACAATCAAGAATTGATTCTTTGTGTTACGGCCTTTTGTTACTTAAACAGAAGAGTGATTCCATAAACATTTTCGCTGGATATTTTGAATACATGTATATATACAGGTATATCTTACTATTGTAGAATAGCCAAATTCATCACAGAATTCAGTTTTTGTTCATGGTTCAGTGAATTAGACAGTTTGAGTATTCAGAACACATTAACCTTTTGATTGGAATAACGACATAGTAAAATGAAGAATATACAGCTATGTTATAATATCAAAATGTTATACAATCTCAAAAGGATGTCATTTACTTTATATAACTGGTGGCATGACCAAGTGGTTATTGTATCGGACTAGTTAACTAAGGATTGTTGGCTGCTTGGTCCAAGCCCCATATGGGGGAAGCTGTTGTTTCCTTGAAATAGGAGCTACACATTTGCCAAGTATCAGTTTTAGGAATGGATATATGCCAACAGCATTCTACATGATCAAAAAAGAAAATTTGCATTATGTAAGAGCTGTCTGAATTACACTGCTCAATTATCATAGTAAATGTTTAAATTCATTTTGATTCCTATTCCGAGGTACACAATACTTTTTGGCCTCAGTCAGATAAAGTATTGTCTAGTACAGCAAGGATATTAATTAAGCAAATTAACATGATTTAATAAAAAAAAAACTTATTTTTTAGTAAAAGTTTTTAGGATTATTCATAAATTTCAGACCCCCAAAAACTTGTTTACTGTATATGAAATTTTAACTCGTTCGGTAGGTCTATTATCTTTGAGGCTAACAGGTCATTGGTTCTACTTGTGAATTCAGTGCTTTAAGTAATGCACAGAGGGGTATCTTGGATCTTGTTACTGCATTTTAACTTCATTATTCTTCATATGGATTAATATACTGTAGGAACATTGGTAAAAGACTTTGACACTATCTGTCGGTGATGATTTATCTGGATATATATAATTAAAGCCATGTATCATACAACTGTATGTCCAAACTACTGGTATTGTTGAAGGTGATGATAGGTTGTTGCTTCAACTTCGGAGCATATATTAATGACCTAGGCAGGCACACCGAGTCTTTTTCAATCAGTAAAACTAGCAACTAGGTATGTAGATATGAAAGGTGTCACTTGAACCACGAATTAAACAGAAAACACACAGAATTTACTTTTGTCAGTATTTTAATAGACATAATTCTATAACTGATAAGTAACAAATAGAATATTTAACATCAGCAGCTGCAGCTAAACTGTTATATATGAGACTAAAAATACATGAAAATAAAAATGTAAAACAGAAATGGTTCCAACATATAAAAATTAACGAGTCTGTAGACCAGTCTAGCAATAAAGCTCTACCATTGGTCAAATTCAAATTGGCCAATCAGGTGCTGATTATTGTAGACTGGTCTTCATACTTAACATTTTCAACATCGGGCACTGGTTTTTCCTATCCTACCACATTATAGCTATAGTGGATTTCAAGAAAATGTATATAAAGGTGAATATGGTAATATAAAATAGTCAGCGTATCATTTTTTTCTTGATAGACTTAGAATAATAATAAGTATTAATAATTAGTGTCTGTTAAAAATGAAATTTGCACAACCAATTTGATACAACTTACTCTTACATAAATATTAAAAATGTAATTTTAACGGTTTTGTTTACAACAGCTTTTGTTCATTAGGCCAACAATATTAAAATCATATGTTGTCTTTAAAATAATAATTAGAACTTCAATAATATTACGCATAAAATAAATTGGGGAGAGGACAGGGTAATGCAAATAAAACCTAAAAATAGCTTTAAAGAAAGGTACTAAATGCAGTTAAATGCTTATCACATGGTATAAAAACCCATGGGACATTATGTCAAATTACAAGCAGACTAGAAGCAAGGCAGTTAGGATTATTTTTGTCATGGATTAGTTCAAAGTGCTTCCTGAAAACCTTTCTTTATTTCTTACAATCACTGTTAATCGATTATTTTCTTTCACAGCGTTTATTTCGAAAACAGACTTGAAATCACTTGGAAATATTCCAACTTGCTGCTGTCTGTTTTTTTTTGTTTAGCAAATTTGTTGTTAAGGTAATACATTGAAATCATTTATATGGACTAAAAACTTTAAAAATGTTCAGAAAATTTAAGAACATGTCACTGCAAGAAATAATGAGAAAGGTTTGCAGCAGGTTTTTTACTCTAGCATACTTAACAGTTTACGTCTTTCAATCATATACATACTAATATCTATATATAAATATATCTAATTCTAATAGTAAAATTTACCCGATTATAAATCTTTTCACATGATGAACATGATCAACTGTCACAACTATTGTGACAAGTGTCTTAAACATGATATTTTACAAAATATTATGAATAAACATAAAGTCAAAAGAAGTGCATGTAAACACCAGAAAAAATTATCCCACGTATGAACTCATTTCTACCTTTAAATTATGGTTCATTTAAATGCAATTTTTCTCTATTTTTAAACTTAAGTTTGAGGAAACCAAATTCTTTTTTAGGTAAATCTCTATTTTACTGAAATATATCACCATCAAAACCAGCAAATGGCAAAATGTTTGAGGCTGTTGTACATATATTAAGCACAGAATTTGCTTGAATGTAGCTCATCATTTGTGTCTGATGTAGTAACATGTAATAAATGGATTTCTGGGAATGGGAATTAGGGATTCATGTAAATGAACTTTCTGGATTTGTTTCAGTGTTAAAAATTAATCATGTAAAATATATGTCTTTTTTAAAAAGATTCTTAGCATATAAGAGTTCATATTAAACAATGTTTTAAGCATAAATTATTTATAATGTCACTTTGGCAACAAAATTTTTGTATCACTTTTCTTCACATGATTGTTTCTCTTTTATATATACTGTGCATAATTTGACAAATTTAATGAATTCTACATCAATAAGTTCTTTGTTTTTTTAATTCATATTTCAATTATAATTTTCTTTTTCAGCCAGAAGTAATTACAAAGTATCAAAGTACAAACAGTACTACAGTAGTTACGCTGTCGACTGTCACATCTAAGGTTATATACTTAAAACATTGAAGAATATAAACTCAATACATTCTGACTAGAAACCTCCAAGTGTAAATTATATTTCAGACAAAGAGGATAAAAAACAGCACAAAAAAATCATTGTAACAAATGTATGGCACTTCTTTTGCAGAAAGTTTGTCATTTATTTTGTAAACAAAAATAACAAACCAGTCAAATATAATCAAAGGAAATATATGTTTCATATTTTGAGCATTTAAAATTTTACAAACATATATTTTTTGTTTGTTATTTATTCATTTAAAAATTGAACACATGGTTTTTATGGCACTTAATTTCAACCTTTTTTCAATAGAATTATATTGTTCTGTTTATTCTGTTTTGTTCTGTTTATTGTTCAACTAAATTTTATAACTATTTAGTTGTGTTTACAGATAATTTTAAGTAAAAATTATAAAAATATGATAAAATATTTGTTAATTAAATCACTTCAAAATTAGCAATGCTTTTCTAGTTCAATAGATATCTGAACTTTTATTATTATAAATTTAAGTCATTATTTTCTCTAAAAGTTATTCTATTTTAACAAAGGATTCTTTTGTGATACTGATAAAGATACAAAATAGGAGTGATTCTCGTTTAATGGAAGTGGACAAAAATATGGAAGGATGATAAATTTAATGACTATAAAATTATAATCATTTATAAAAAAGTGTGTTTGGCATCTTGACAGGTGGTTAATGATTATTTTACAAAACCCTTATAAATGAAATGAGCCGCGTCATGACAAAACCAACATAGTGGGTTTGCGACCAGCATGGATCCCGACCAGCCTGCGCATCCGCGCAGTCTGATCAGGATCCATGCTGTTCGCATACAGACCCTATAACAAGTAAAGAAACTGATAGCGAACAGCAAGGATCCTGATCAGACTGCGCGGATGCGCAGGCTGGTCTGGATCCATGCTGGTCGCAAACGCATTACGTTGGTTTTGTCATGACGCGGCTCATATTTTTCTTCTGCAAAGTGAGAAAAAAAGTGAATATAATTTACTTCTACTTTACAAAATGTTTTTCCCTGATATAACAAAATTCTATGTACTAATAACATCACGGATTTCTAAGCATGTTTTAACAATATGGATTTCCAGAAAAAAATCTCAATAAGAACATTTGTTCAATACAGCACATTTAAGTACAAAAATCAATCAAACACATAACTCATCACTCAGTCATGTGTGACAGTTTTTTTTCATATTTATAGTCTACTATAAGCAATGCGTATTTATTTAATTTGAGTACTGTACACTATAATTTTTATCTGAGACATATAAAGTTAATAACAAATATACATTCAATGCCATCTAGCTAACAAAATTCTTAACAACTGAACATAAATGTGAAATTATAACAATTCTATACAAGACTACAATAGCAATGAGCTATTTGTCGCAACCCCATATTTCGCAGCCATACATAATATAGTAGACTGGTACCAAACAGTTTCTCTATAGCTGGACAAGTACCAGTTTGTTCAATTCTCTTATTTTACACTAGGATTTCTTCTTCTCAAGAACCAACCAAGTTCATGTTCCCTTTATATTTGTATTTTCCTACTCTACAATAATGCATGTCTATTGTAACAATCATTATAGCACCACACAACCCTTCATTTAAAACAATTTCAGGCTGTACAGCCGGGATAAAGTTCTTTTTATTTAAGACTTTGTACAATTTGTAAATTGTTAATCAAAAACTATGATGACACTTGATGTAATTGTGGTCCATTCCCATTGGCAAAATCAGAGTCATTAAGATTACTATGGTTAGTGTATGAAGCGTCCATACTGTCGTCTGCTGCTTCAAGATCATCACTTAAATTATCCTCGTCACTATGGAGACGAGCATCTGCATGATCCTGATCAATCATGCTGACATCTTCCACATCACTATGATCACTGCCTCCATTAGCAGTATGTTCCCTGTGACCATTTTCCTGATTTAAACTTGATGCCATCTCGGAAGGGGACATCAATCTTGAAGAGTCATAACCTGAACTTGATGAACCTTGAACACTTTGACCATTGGAATCTGAAATAATACAAAAAGATGCTTTATAATTTATAGCTTATAGTTTGAGCATCCAACATTCTTAAAACAAATCATACAGGTGTTGTAAATACTTGCACTAAAAATTATTTCTTTCTTCTTTTTAGCAAGCACGTCTATGAAATCCTACTTTGTATTATACACATTAACCAAATTTGCAAATGAGTTATTTATTTAGAAGGGTAGAAAATACTGAAAATAAAGAATTTGACAACAAAAAATTCATCATTTAAACATTTAGATAAATACTTACTGAGCAGTCCCTCCACATATGTGGTCCCAGAGTCTCCGTACCAGACACGACGAATATCCTGACGTCTTGAACGCATTAAATTCTTGTACTCAGAAATTCTCAGTTTCTTCCCATCTACAATACATGTCCTCTTTGGGCGAGGTCTGTAAAAGAAAAAAGTTTTATCGTATTTAGCAAAAATAAGAAAGTCACAAATTTTGTGTGTAAATTTAAATGTTATATAATTGAAAAATGAAAATAAAAAGATTTTGTACTTGAACTGTAATTCTTATTCCAAGTAAAAAGAATCCCTTAACCATTACATCAAACATGTAATATTTTCTAAGATCTTTTAAATTTGCTGAAGCTTAATTCAAAATGAACATTCCTTGTTGACACCATTACTGACAAACAATTTTTATACAAAGTTGATGCAGAAATAAACTAAATTGATCACAAAATACAAAAGCTATGTTTCTGATCAGATGACAATGCACATATTAGGTATAGCCTTTTACCTGTATCTGTAATCGGGGTGTTTTTCCATGTGTAATTTACTAAGACGGGATTGTTCCTCATAGTATGGCTGCTTTTCTGCGTTACTCATGGCCTTCCATTTTGCTCCTATAATATTTATATTACATACTTATTAATACTTATTATAAATTTATAAGTAAATCTATAATATATTTGCATAAATATAAGTATTGTTAATTTATTTTATAGTTATCTCCCTTTAGCATTATAGAACTGGTAATAAAGGTGAATAAAGAAGTTGTCTCCCTTTACTTATTCAAAGATGGTGATAATGACAAAAATTCTACAAGCAACTTATTTTGATTAATAAAGTTGTGTAAAGGAAAATTGATTTTGTTGCTGAAAAAATATGGCTCTCTTTATAATCCTAAATAATTAAAAAATATATATATATTCACCTAGTATTTTACTGATGTTTGAGTTGTGCATGTCGGGACATGCTTTGAGTATTTTCCTCCTTTCTTCACGAGCCCAGACCATAAATGCGTTCATTGGTCGTTTTACATGAGGTTTATTCATATCCTGTTTCTCTTTCTGTGCTCGAATTATTTTCGCACCAAACATTTTAGCTGTAACAAAACAGAAAACTCTTTATCGAAACAAAACAAAAAACAAAGCTTATGAAATAATAACAAATGTTCATATAATTACACAGTCGTTATTTATCAATTATTGCACTTCAACTTCAAAACAATTAGATTATAAAAGAAAATTGTAAACAGTGCATGCATGTGTAAACTCTTCAAATTTCTTTTCTTGTTTCCCATTCTCATGAAATTTACAACTACAACTTCCACCCACCAACACACGTACACCACCCACCCACACACGTACACTTAAAACCGTTTTATTTTTATACGGCCTTTAAAAAAAATAAAATAAAGCCCATACACATCATCTAGACATTGAAAAAAGTTTAACAGTAAGCGTGAGTAGTATGCATGAATTTTATTCACTTCAACAAATGGAAAACCTGTTTTTAATTATCTAATCTTATGTCGAAACAATCCCCCGTTGTTTAAATTTCCCCCTCGCAATAAGGACGTCAAGTCATGTAAGAACCTTATTGTTATATCATATTAGAATCATATAAAAATTCAAGTGTTGAAACAAGGAAAATACAATGAAAATTTTTAATTGTTTTGTTTTTGTTTTGTAATTAATCATATAGTTTTATTAAAGTACATGGAAGTAAAAAATATCTTATATCTTATCCACTTCATATTAACTTTATTCTATTGTAACACTTGAAAGTTATTACGGCATATCTCAAATTTTCCGCACAATCTGCAAAGTTTAAAACAATCTATACATGTATCCTATCTGTACTGAATTCAGCTTTCTGGGTTTCATTAATCAAGAAAGGAAATTTTCTTTAATTTTGCAAAGAAATATTTTAAGTGTGATTTTAAAATACGAGAAGCAAATGCTGCAAGAAATTAGAAGGCTTTCAGCATTTAAATGGATATATCATATAATTTGTTATCTAAAATCAAGCTGAAAATGTTTTCAGGCAATTATTTCAAGAAGAATAGGGGAGGCAATGTATTTCAAAAGAAGCCTTATATTATAATCAAATGTGTTTCCTCATTTGAAAACATTATTTCTCATCATTGTCTAACAAGAAGAAAACATACAATGTATTATTTAAATTACACAATTTAGGTGGTTTCATATTCTAAGCATTTACAAGGATACACAATTTTTTTTTTACAAAACTTAACTTAAAGATTGAGGAATTTTTTCCCTATTTTTTAAATTTATCCAAGGGAGAGTAATCTTCAAGGCATACTTACAGTTTGGAGATGAGTTATCTGCTCTAAGAGGTTCATTACGCTCCTTGGCCATTGTATGGGGAGAAAGATGAGATGCTCCTGGATACATGGACAGACCGAAGCCAGGAAACACTGGAGGACCATGGGCAGAATGCTGAGCTGCTGCATACTGTCGGGCTAGAGCCTCATGTACCATACTTTCCTGCAAGATAATTCAACAATCCAATGTTAAAAGAATTAAATATCATAAATAGCCTACATGAATTAACAGTATGAAATTCAAATAACCATTTTCTTTTTATGTAAACTTTATTTAACAGTGAGAAAAGGGAAAAACATTACTTATTTGGTAATGATGATATATGCATAATGTTGAGTAATAAAGATAACTCCAGTAGAAAATGAATATTTTAAAACATAATTATTCTATAAATATGTCGAGGGTATTTTGATTATCAAGTTTTCTTCAGTATAAACTAGGGCCAGGAATTATATTCGAATATTCAAAACACTACCGAATATTCGAACATTGAATATAGTATACACATGAAATTGTACATAATTATTAACATATACACATGAAATAACAAAATATTCAGTATATTTACCTTATCAGAATCAAGAGTTGGAAGTTTACCACCGTTCATCAAGTAGGAGTGTGCTGTAAAGTTGTTGTTGAGGACGGAGACTGGCAGATGACTGGCGAGACCAAGGAATGGACTATACTGAGGAGGAAGGAACGGAGGTCTCACACCAGGGAAGAGAGGAGATGGATTTTCTGCGATTGAAACTTTCGGTGGAGTCGATAGTAACTGTGGTGAACTGACGGTACTGCTTGCTGTACTGCTGGTCGTGTTCACATTCTGACGATGGTTGCTATGCGCAGGAGGCGGAGTTACAACTTTCTCCGCACTACGGTCGTAATGATGAGAATAATTATATTGTTCATCGTTTCGCTCTCTTTTAGGCGTTGTGATTCTTGGTTTTGAAAGATTCAGTGGGCCGTCTTGGTCGTTGACTGAAGCATCTCGTGAGTCTCTAGGTGTACTGAGCCACATCGGTGTGTGAGGGGCGTGTCCAGATGGACTGGTCATGGAGTTGTCATGACGAGGTGATGGCGTAGAGTGATGGTCTGATGGTAAAGGGCTGGAATGTGTCACAGGTGACAAATGGTATGGTGAGGTGGTGTACGGTGGCGATGAATGGTGTTTTGTGTCTACTTGGAACGCAGACGTTGTCAATGGAGACACCCTCGTTGGTACTGTCATATGAGATGGCACTGTAAAAGAAAAACAATACAAAGTATTAATATTAAACACTAGAAAGTCAAATCTATAAAGAGTATTAAAATATCAAAAAGTTTTAGTATGTCAATTAAACTCAATACAACTATTATTTCAAAGCATCTATGTATTTCCATTTACTTGTCCCTTATTGTAGAATTAGTAAGAATACTACTGAAAAAAAGATCAGTATGTATAGAAATGCACTTGTTTCAAAAACACTGTGTCAAATAAGTATTGTAATAAACTACAACAGACTGTAACACACAGTTTTAAGCTGGCTTTTACTTTATGAAACATTACAGCTTGTTGAGAATAACTGTTTCCTTTTCCCATGCCTTAAATCTTCATTCCGTCATCAATCAATCATTTCCCATTATACTTTCTTCTACTCAAAATCTTTTTTTTCCTGCTAGCAAAAACTGCCGCCACAAAAACTTTCAACAATGAGAACCATTAGCGGGTGGGGAGACTGTATATTACTATCATTTACAAGGGTAAACCATAAATCTCGAGGAAAATAATGAGGCAGTTTTAGCACCCATACAATTGCTGAAGAATAACAAACCAATTATGCCAATTACAATTTTGGAGTATAATGATGGGAGATAGGATTCCTCAAACACCAAAAAATACCATTTTTACATTTTCCAAATTACACATCATTCTTGAAAACAGAACATGCATGATGACTATAAAAAATTTCTTCCTATTTCCTTTCAAGTGCTTTTAATAATTTTAAGTTGCATTTGAAAAATAGACAAGTAAATGTCAGAAATATAATTATTCTCATATACCAAGATGGGGAAACATTTTAATACAGCATCTCGTTAAAAACAAAATAAATCAGCATTTTAATACGAACAACCTCATGGTGGTCCTGAAGTTATTATAACTAATATATACATATAGACCTTAAACCTGCTGATGTGATGTGAAATGAATTTGCCCTTCTTTTAAAATGGAACAATTCATTTGAAGTTTATGGCATTTTGCTATCAAAATACGAAAATTGACCAAAAATTAAAAGCCTGATTAGACTGCAAAGATGTGCAGACTTGCCTTTCTGTATACTGGTAGCAAATGTAAGCACTCTCACTTTCAGTTTCCTTATTTGTGCAATCTGATTTATTGTTAAAATCAGTAAAAATCTTAATTCAACCTGGTAAAATCATCCCAGATCTTACTTTATAAGATATATTTCTAACAATCTCTACTTTAAAAAAAATTCAAAATAATAGTGTCGAAAAAAGAAAATAAACTGTTACTGTAGCCAGGCGGAAGCTGCGGACTTTAACAGGTTTTTTTTTTAAGAAAAAGATAAACCAATGGAAGAACATTAATCTCACATTTAACCATTTATCACAAAAAGCTATCCCACTTAAATGAGCAAATTACAAAAGATTTGTTGTTTGTCCATTAGCCCTCAAATATGATTGATCCGCAATTTCTCTTGGGGTCGTATTTGGCCGACAATTCATTTGTTTAATCAGACCAAATGACAACCTAAAATATCTAAAGATTCCATCCTGACACAAAATACAAATTAAGCGCTTTATTTCTTTAAGTTTTGAAGAGCACAATGCCTCCCTTATCTCGCGCATTTATCCTAAAATGTAATAACGATTTTGACGATAATAAAAAAACTACATGGAGACATATCTTCTATCTTTTCCCAGTCATAGCAACAAGCTTGAAGCTGATTGGTGATTAATAATAGCAGAAACTTGATTGATGCACGAGTCGCAAACTTGTTAACACAGCAACAAAATACAAACTACAGGGGTAACCCCCGTCAAAACATCTATTTATCTTTGATGAATAGTGCTCAATATTGTTATGGCAATTGCATTCCTTTGAAGATGAAATTTTCTTTTCTGTTAGAGAAGAAATGTTTTCAAAATTTTGTCTGTCAAAAAATGTTAAGATCAAAATTTCTAAAAAATAAAAAAATAAAATCCAATTACAACAAGTGTATAAACTATAAAGAGATGTTCTTAATCTTTTATCTGGAGTTTTACCATCCCTATTAAAGACAACAATCTGGTTTTATTTTCTAACAAAGATCATTGTCTTTATTGCTTGACAATATAAAACAAGGAAAACAATGTTTTCCCTCCACCTTCCCCTCTGCCCCCTCCCCTCCCCAATAAAAACTTAAAACCCCACCTTCTTCTATTCTATACAAGTTTTTTATCATACGATACCTAAACCCACCTTTTTCTATCCTATACAAGTCTCTTATCAAATGAAACAGTAGCAAATTTTTATCATTTCATTTTTTTTTTTCATAACTCATGGAAACTGTTCAACTCAGCACCCGCAGTTTTCCTCAGTATAATATATCAGAGCATCATGCTGAGACTATATCTACCCTATATTATTTCAAATGGAAAACAAAGCCAGGGGCCCTATTGTGTAGCGCTCTTTCATCATCCTGTATGATAAACCACTGATCTGGGTCATCATTAATCATAATTTCTATCTACGTTATGTCGTATACCCGCTGTTTTAAAAGACGTTATGTATTTCTTTGTGCCTGATTTTGAAATCTTTTGTTAACTGCAGCTGTTTACGCAGAATGCAAACAATTTATGTTTTTTTCCCTCGTAGAAAAAAAAACAGATTAAAGAAAATATTAGAATAAATTAGAAATGTTTTTTTGTAATGAGTTATAAATTCAAATATTTGACTACAATTAACAATTTCTACTTTGAATGTATGTATCCCGTTCTACTGATGCTTTTATAATCACGTTACTGACTCACTGACTTTTTCTTTCGAAAGAAGTTTACGATGATAAAAAAAAATACAAACAATAAATAATGAAAACTTTTATACAGAAAGGAAAACAGACTTTTCACATCACTTAAAGACAACAACAATACCATAAATCCATAATGAAAATAAAAACAGTTATGAAAAATGTCTGACAAAAATATTTCTTTCCATACCTGGACAAACTGGCTCCAAGTAATAATGGGTTTTTATTAATCAAATTAATGAAACAAGGAAAAGTCATTCTGATGCTGATTGTAAGAGATTACAGTTTATGTTCATATTTTCCTTTCATTCTTCTGCCATGAAGATAAAGTATGCTATATTATAAGTTTGCTTTCCGGCAGTTTCATGTATGACAAGTAGTAAGAATTTTACCAGAATAAGCTTTCTCTCAAAATTTTGTAATTTTGATTTTTGAACTCTTCCAATGCACAACAGTTAGATCTACTAATTATTATTTACTGATAACCTATGAGTCGGACCTGCTGATAGTGGTATTGAAATCCAATTAAATGACAACGGAAAGTCTTAAATATATACCATACACTGTATTTCATCCTCCATAATCTTAAAACTTAAATAATAATGGTCACAATCAAATACAAGTTATGATTTGAGTTCAGGAACAATAGATTTACTGAATTAGTGTTCTTGAACTCAAATTATAAAATGATTGCAAGTACCAAAACTAAAACATCATGCACCTCTTGGTTTCTAAAAGACCCACTTTTACAACATTCTTACAGAAAAGAATTCCTGCAGAAATTCTCACATGTTGGAGACATTATGAAACAAACACCTGACAGAGAGTTTTATTGTGTTTCTTTTTCTCTATTACTACGGAAATGCTTTTTTTTTTTTAATCAAAAATATTTGTGCACTTAATTTCCATCACATTTGTATGCAATTTATAATAAGATATGAGATAACTATCATGAAGGCATTTGAAAATATAGATGCTATATTTCTAAAGAGAAAAAAATTCCCATCTAAACAAATTTTGAAACTTCTGAAAAATTATTTTTTTGTGTGCGAAACCATTATGAAATACAGAGATAAGGCTGGATTTTTATCTTCTGCCGGCAGCTGACAGTTGTACTAAAAACTGTTTATAAATCTACGATTTTCAGTACAAAGATAAAATTAAATGCTGATTTTATGTACACTGACGAAATTTGACATTTTCATAATTTTCACCACATGTACGCCAAGCCTGCTTTGTCTTATGTAATGGTAAAATGGAGGATGTTTTTGTTACTTAACTCTTCAACCATGAAACTGAAAATTTGTATTCCCAATTTCCCCCCTTCTTTTTGAAGAGCAACTGATTTGTTTTCACCTCTCCTTTCTGAAGAGCAATTAGGTTAGAACTAATACAAACATCAATTGTGTAACTTTTTCTTAAGTTCTATCTTCAAACATTACAGTTTTTTGATAACATTAATATTTTTCTTTTAATTTTCTACAAGAAAAACTCCATTTTCAGCAATTTAAAAGATGTTAAATTCTAAGCAATGTGGATATACAATTCAAAAACCAGTTTTATGTTTTCCTTAATCACTTTGCTATTGTGTTTTTCCCTATTATACAAAATTATACAAATTCATTTCCTTGAGAATGCTTTCACAAATATAATATATTACATATTCTTTTTTTTCTTTGCCTTAACAAAAACAATACCTGTATAAATTTATGGATACAGAGCTAATTGAAATCTAAGTAACAATGGCAAACATGGGGAGAAAATGAAAATAGTTTCTACCAATCTAATCCATTAATAAAGAATTCATTCCACCGGTAGATTGATAGTTACCAGCATTAATTGACACCAAATACCAAATTGAAACCACAAGCACTGTATCAAAATTCCTATAAAAAAAACTTTTCAACATTTGTTTCCCAGATGTGTGCCGCTGCAGGAGAATCTTGAAATTATAGCCACATTCTACTAGGTGTTAATAACACCATTACCAAACGATGCTAAAACTTTTTTGTTCTCTCTCTTTTCTCCTCTGAAGTACAGCCCACATTTATGAAAGTTTTGTTAAATTTTGCATAATTTATTTATTTTATTATATTTGCATTGTTTTGCTTTGCATAACTTTATTGTAGTGTTGTTGTTTTTTTCACATTAAACATGTATCCATTTGCATTATTTTGCTTTGCATCAACTAGAATTAGGCATTTCTGTACTGTACTGCATTGCACTGTAATG